ACCACCGATGAAGTCCGCTTTCGCTTGACAATCGCTTTCTTCCGGTAAAACGCATTTTCCTAATTTAACATCAAAATGTTTCTGATCCGGACATTCCATTTTCACAATCCTCGACATCACGCACACGTAAAATCTTGTGCAACTATTTGCACCAATGCCGTAAGCGTGATTTTCACATTCTGGTTGAAAAGCATATATGGCTTGCATACATGCCAAAATTATTATAATTCCTACACAAAAAAAATGTACAAACAATAATAAAGAACTGTACTAATTATTAAGTAATAACACCACTTACCCTTAATCATTTTGATTGACGCGGTATTAACAACATAATCCCAAAACAAAATTTGCCACTTTTTATAGGTTCACATGTTTGGAGATAAATGGAGATTTTTACTGATATAAAAAATGTACATGATTTTTATCGGCGTTTGATAAAATAAAACATGAAATATATAACATTATGCAATGACATTATTTCTTTTATTAATTAAACAATACTCAAATATTTACAAGGATTTTTTACAAGTACACTTCTAATTTTAAAACTTGAATACTAATGCAATATAAAACACGATTACAATTCCAATCGACAGTTAGCACGAAGAGGCCAATCGCACACCTTCAAGGCTGAATTGAAATGCAAACCTTTTGGACAGAACATTTCAATTGCATTTCCCCAGTCGCACACAATGTATTTTCCACATTCAACGGGATGTGGAAGAAGCGTGGCATATTCTCCATTGGTTGGTGGGCAAATTCCTCCACCTGGTTGTTGAGTCACGTTTTCAGTTGGTTTTGGAGTTTCAGTAGATTCGGTGCCATTTTCTCCTGGTTGTTGGGTGACGTTCTCAGTTGGTTTTGGGTTTTCAGTGGACTCATTACCATTTCCTGATTCACATCCAGCATCTTCTGGCCAATCACAGACTTTCAAAACTGGATTGAAGTGTAAACCAGCTGGGCATGGCATTTCAATTGGTTGTCCCCAATCACAAGCGATGTATTTTCCACAATCAGTTGGATGTGGAAGAAGTGTGGCATATTCTTCATTGGTATGTGGGCATATTCCTCCACCTGGTTGTTGAGTCACGTTTTCATTTGGTTTTGGAGTTTCAGTAGATTCGGTGCCATTTTCTCCTGGTTGTTGGGTAACGTTCTCATTTGGTTTTGGGTTTTCAGTGGACTGATGACCATTTCCAGATTCACAACCAGCATCTTTTGGCCAATCGCAGACTTTTAAAACTGGATTGAAGTGTAAACCAGCTGGGCATGGCATTTCAATTGGCTGTCCCCAATCGCAAACAATGTATTTTCCACAGTCGTTTGGATGTGGTAGAAGTGTCGCTTCTCCTTCGTTGGTAGACGGACATTGAATTTCAGTAGGAGCTGTTGAACCTGGTGAAGTAACAGTTTGAGTTAAACCTGTAGAAGATTGAGTGATAATTGACGTTGGTGCTTCGGTTTCAGGATCAGTTGCAGGTTCGGATTCAGATGGTGTTGTGGATTGATTGCCACTTCCAGATTCACAACTAGCATCTTCGGGCCAATCACATACTTTCAATACTGGATTGAAATGTAGACCAGCTGGGCATGGCATTTCAATTGGTTGTCCCCAATCGCAAACAATGTATTTTCCACAATCGTTTGGATGTGGTAGAAGTGTCGCCTCGCCTTCGTTGGTAGACGGACATTGAATTTCATTTGGAACTGTTGAACCTGGTAAAGTAACACTTTGAGTTATATCTGTAGAAGATTGAGTGACAATGGATGTAGATGTTTCGGTTTCGGGATCAGTTGCAGGTTCGGATTCAGATGTGGTCTTTGGTGTTGTCAATGTTGTTTGGGGTTTGGTTTCTGTTGGAATTGTAGTAATTTCCGTTTCAGAAATAATTCCTGTGGTGATTTCCGGCTGAATTGATGTTGTAGGTTTAGGTTCTTTTGTTGGTTTAGGTGTTCTTGTTGGTTTGGGAGCTTTCGTTGGTTTTGGAGCTTTCGTTGGTTTTGGAGCTTTCGTAGGCTTGGAGGGTTTAGGTGCTTTTGTTGGTTTGGTTGGTTTGGTGGATTCAGCTGATTCGCCGGATCCACTGGATTCAGAAGATTCGGATGATTCATTTGAATGACTTTTGCTTGATTCCTTACTATTTTCATGACTGTGCCCTGACTCATTACTATGTTTGGAACCACTTTCATGGCTACCATTACTTTCATGACTATGCTTTCCTGACTCATTGCTATGCTTAGAACACTTCCATGGCTACCATTACTTTCATGACTATGCTTTCCTGACTCATTACTATGTTTGAACCACTCTCATACTACCATTTACTTTCATGACTATGCTTTCCTGACTCATTACTATGTTTGAACCACTTCATGACTACTTTACTTTCATGACTATGCTTTCCTGACTCATTGCTATGCTTAGAACCACTCTCATGACTACTTTTACTTTAATGACTATGCTTTCCTGACTTATTACTATGCTTGTATGTTTAGAACCACTCTCATCACTAGCTTTACTTTCATGACTATGCTTTCCTGACTCATTACAATGCTTGGAACCACTCTCATGACTACCTTTAATTTCATGACTATGTTTGCCTGACTCATTGCTATCTTCCGTTTCTGTACTATGCTTACCAGATTCATCGCTATATTTGTGATCATTTTCATTGCTATGCTTCTTCTTGTTCACTTCAAAATCACAACCAGCATCCGATGGATAATCGCATGCCTTCATAATCGAATTAAAATGTAAATCCGATGGACACTTCATTAACTCCAATTTTCCATTGATGCAAACATAGTATTCTCCGCATTGATAAGGTGAAGAAATTAAAGCATTCTCTTCGCAATTAAACGTAAGTGCAGATATGGCATGTATGCAGGCCAATACCAGGATAAACACTGTAAAAATTATATTAAATATAATGAAAATTGCCATTTAATTACACAATCGGTTATATTCAAAAAAATAAACAAATAAAAAACACGTACCTCTCATAGTGCCGATTTTCGATCAATACTTTTCAAAAGTGAAATGATTGTAAATATCATATTCATCGTAAATTTATATATAAATAAAGAGATAAATGAATTGATTAGAGTTTATCGTATTATTTTTTTATCAAATCGTTAATCCCCTTAAAAATCTACTTGTATTAATCTATTCAATTAACTTTTTTATATGAACTTCATTATTCTTTATTAAAGACGAGATTGTTGGGTGATAAAATTTAATGATTTGTGCAATTTTTATATATATATATTTTTTTGAATTTGTTTTAAGTGTTCCAAACATCAATGATCACATCTCATTGGATACATTTATATCATATTTTATAATCTAAATGTAAAGATTAAACATTTTTTTTTTGTCATTTTGCTAATCGTCAGTTACGCTTTTAGATATTTTACAGCCAGCATTTGAGATCCAGTCGCATATCATTAAGTTAGTATTAAAGTGAAGACCATGAGGACAATCCATTTCGATTGCCTTTCCCCAAACGCACGAGAAAAACTTACCGCAATTGCTTGGATGCGGTACCAGCTGCAAGAAATCCATCTGTTTTCTACATTGTATAATATGATTTGATTCATTGGGTTGTTTATTGGTAGATGCTTCAGGTTTTGTTGTTACTTCTGGTTTGGATGTTGAAGAGGATTGTACTGCGTTACATCTAGCTACGATGGGCCAATCGCAAACCCTCAATTTTGGATTGAAATGAAGTCCTGCAGGACAATCCATCACAATGGGTTTTCTCCATACACAGGAAATGAATTTACTGCAATCCTTCAGATGTGGTAGTAAATACAATTCATCCATATCACTCGGACACTCAACATCTGCTGCACTTGATTTGGTAACTTCTTCTGATGGTATCTCTGAAATTACATTAGTATCACATCCCGCCTCCCATTGATAATCGCATTCCTTCTTTTCCTTATTAAAATGCAAATCTTGAGGACAATCCATTTCCACCGGTTGTCCACCAGTGCAACTGATAAATTTCGCACAATTGTTGGGATGTGCCAACAATTCTTCAACATTTAACTGACAAATACTAATTACGTTCTCTTCTTTCACTGTAGTTATTTCTGACTCGATGGTTGTAGTCTCTATTTCTGGTTGAGAAGTAGTAGTTTCGTCCGATGGATTCACCGCTGAAGAATCACATTTAGCATTGAATGAAAGATCGCAATCGTTAATTTCTGGATTAAAATGAGTGCCATTCGTGCAACGAATCACCAGCAGTCTTCCCCATACGCAAATAATGAATTTTTTACAATCGTCCGGATGCGAATATAACCGTGTATCCTTAGTCTCGTTGGGACATTCAAAATCAACGTATTCTTCGGATCCACAACTCTCAGTTTCTCCCGATTCTGTTGGTTTTACGGTTAGAGATACAGTTGGTTTAATCTCCGGTTCTGTTAGTCCAGTTTCTGCTGTATTAAGTTCAGTTGGTTTTGAGGACTCAGTTACTTCTTCAGTTTCAGATTCTGTAGGATTAATTTCTGTTGGTTTCGAAGATTCTGTTACTTCTTCAGATGAATTTGTTTCTGTTGGTTCGGTCTCAGGTTGAACTGATATAATTTCAGTTGCTTCTGGGATAGATTCAGTTATTTCTGATACATTTTCAGTTGGTTCTGGTACAGATTCTGTCGCTTCTGGTACTATTTCAGAGATGGTTGGTTCAGATGGTTTCGTAACCACTGAAGGTGAATGTGTGACATGCTCACAACCTATTTCGCCCTCTTCATCCTCAACCTCTTCCAATGTATCAGGATGTTCCGCTTCTGCGTATAATCCATCTATACAACCAACACGTTTTGGATCTTCGCAATTTTTAGTTTTCATGCTAAAATGCTTATCATCCTCACACTGCAGAACCTTCTTCATATTCTGAACACAAATATAGTATTTACTACAATCATTCTCATGTGGAAACTCTCCATTTTGATCACAAGATTCTAAAAAAATAAAAACAAAAAAAATCAAACTTACTATTCTTGATATAACAGATAAACTTACGTCTCGGAAAGGCTTCAATCGTGATAACACTGAGCGATATCAAAAGCGAAATTATTAAATAACCTGTTAACAAAGAAAATGAAAAATAATATATATGCTAAAATTACAAACAATATTATAAGACAAAAATATCCTTACCTCGCATCGTGTTTCACATTAAATTATTTTAGGTAGTGTTCTATCTAGAGCAAATCTTCACTCTTATATGATAGATTAAATTTGCGTTATTTGCTACTTTGCAAACAAAAAATAAGTGCCTTTTTTTCGTTTTATGTTGTTCTTGGTAAAAAAATATTCACTCAAATTTCAACGAGAAATATTTGCTCAGACGCTTATGTAGATTTGTAATTGTACACAGATGACGTGTGAAAAATTCTTTATGGTTTTGAATAAAAACTCAGAGAAATACAGTCATTAATGTTATGCATGCTCCATGTAATTAAATAATCAAATTAAGTTATATTACTATTTTTGTCTACTTTTATCTTGATAATCAAATCTACTAAAACTTGATAATCTGTTGAAAAATAGAGTTACGTTGAAAATCTTCCACTCACTGATGTTTCGAATTTTCGGTATTGTAAGCCATTAGAATTTTGTTAACAATTTTCCACAAAAAGAAAAAAAAAACATAGATTGATAAGCTACTATCATTTATATTGTGAAAATTAATAACGCAAAGATTTCAGCAAATTTTAAAAACACTTTAATTTGAATTTCCTTTATTAATCACCTTGATAGATAATAACTCTTTAAAGACTAGTTAAGTTTATCGAATTGTAATAAAATCTATAACATTGCAATATTACAACATCCAGGTACTTAATACATATCACAAGCAAGTATAGAACCTACGTCTACTATACAACATAAATAAATAAAATTATATATGCAGGATAAAATGTTTTCAAACAGAAGACGAATATAGGACTTATGCTTTACATTCTATTCACAAACATTCCTAAAACTCTGATGATACCGCAATCTTCGCATCGAATTATAATTCATCACCAGTATCTGCAAGAAAATTTAAATACACTACAGAAATGGCTTAAAAAAGTAGCAGTTAATTAACCGGTTAATTACTGGTTAACAATCTGACATTAAAAAAAATTGTTAATACAATATATAAAAAACAAAATTTATTGTATAACTACATACAAAAGGCTATGGACCTACTTAATACATTTTTTATAAACAAAACAAAATTAGATGAAATCTTTTCATAAAATTTTCAACGTCGAGAGAAATAACATACTAAATATTATAATGGAATATATTATAAAATTAATATAAAAATAAAAGTTGAAACAATTTTTAATTAAATAGATTTATCTTTTTTTAAAATTAAGAATTTTTTTATTATTGTAGACCAACATTTCTCAACCTTTTTTGCCTCAGTATTCAACTTAATTATGTGCAGTCGCACTGCGACCTAATTAACACAAGACACCTGACATTTCGCGAAGTATTAAAAATTTTGAGCGATCCAATGTTAATTACATCTTGAGAAATGCTGTTGTATTAAAACGATTAGCTTATTTAGGAAATAGGTGTTTTGGGTAGAAATTAAAAAAAAAACAACATTAATTTTACACTTTATTGTGATAAAAAATGCACATACATGTTTACATTTTTTCCCGTTATATGTCCTATATAAATTAGTGCTCAGTCTTTGAATAAAATAAAATTAAATAACTTATACGCAAATCGAGATGGGATTCGATAAACTATAAAAATGAAACAAATATGAGAAGAAAATAAAAACATCTCGTGTAAAACCATTGCCGAAGACCAGAACGCAAAAGCTAAATTTAAAAAATAAAATATTTATATTATAATTATTAAATTTTACATTGTTTTAAATTTATTCAATATAAATGTATTTATAATTATATGTATTTATATATTATGTATAAAATGGTAATTTATATTTATAATAGGACTACATTTAAATAAACACATACCAAAGATACTCGTACAATTTAGTAGATACAAAAATATATTAAATTCTATCAAAGACTTTTTTTAATAGCAATCGATAATAAAGTTCTTAACGTTAAGGATAGTTATGCATCTTCGATTGCGCCCAAAATAAAATCAGACATTAAGCAAATGTCATTACATTTCTCGAAATCCTAACGAAAGAAATAGAGAGAAAAACAACAAAAACATTTTGATTTTCATGAACAACATCAACATCTGCACGAAACAAATATGTAAACAACGATAATATTACAAAATACAAGGCGCATAATACGTTACTCCTCTTCGCAATTATACTTTTCCACAGAAAATACATCGAACTGTACTAAATCTAAAGTTTTTTTTCAAGCAAGCTCACTAATTTTAATGTGTTCATCGTTCTGCACAAATACGTAGACATTTATTTTGAAATAGTTTTTTTTTAAATAAATTAAAAGTTAATTGAAATGAAAATAACAACATTTTCGAACCAAGTTCGTTTTCGCGTTACAAAAATATACATCAATATGCAAAATAAATTAAATATATTATTAATCTCTTTTTTTTTTCGTTTCCTTTTTTATTTTGCGTATGCCATGAGCGCGCAATATCCGTTCGAATGTGAAAGGAATAGTTTTCCTTGGGGGACGGGTCGCTCTGGAAAGAAGTAAATCTTGTTGATTGTCCAGCATAACTCTCTCTTAAAAACTCTCCATTGAATCCTCGATGGTGATCTTTCCTCTAATTTCCAGAGCAATCTCGTCCGGGCAGTCCCAATGGAACTAACTTGTCATAAAATGTATATCATCTTTTCTCTTTTTTTTGTATTTTATTTATTTATTTTTTTTTTCACTTTTGTATCACAGGCATTGAGGTGTAACAATGGAAATCAAATTAAAAGGGATTTAATCGAAACTGTCAATTTTGTTTTACTTAAATTTCTTTTTTTTTTTGGTCTAGACTTCTATTTCATAAAGCTATCACCTATTCTATAAATTTTCTCATCAAGTTTTGTGTATGTTTATTTTAATTAATAAAAATTTATTTTTCGTTCGAACTCATCGTTTTTCCAAATTAAAAAAAAAACATTATTATCACACATTTTACCAAACAAAACGCACGTAAAGACATTAAATGGCACTGTGGAGCGATGAGAGAGAACCAAGTGTTGGCAAATGACCTGCCATTCGATAACATCGGTTTGATCATTCCTTCCATCATCTTATTTTATGTTCAATGTAAAATATTATATACGCATATTATAACAGGGTTTAAAATGTTTGTAGATTGTAAAACAGTTAAAGACTTACAATGTCATGCACTACGATATTATTACAAAGTTGTTTTTTATGTTTATCTTCAAATCGCGAATGGAATCTACGTGAAGACTCGGACCGAATGCGGCAAAGTTATTTTCGAAAGGAAATAAAACAACGCTCAGGGATCAATTCCGGATTGCAAATACCTTTGCCGCATACATCTACAAAACGCTAATGTCTCATCCATCCAATTCATTTGCAATTTAAGTTTAACACATCTAGAGAATGGTATTCGAGCCTCGAGACTGGCCCCATTTCACCTAAGAATTCTTTTTCGTACTGGAACGTAGCAAAATAAAATTAAAAGTACTACTAAGTATTCTATTGAGCACGATTTTAAGATTCCTATTGTCGCCCAAACACCCCAAAAAAATATTAAAAATCAGATGAACTCGTAACAACAATCGTCTGCTATTCATTACTTATCATTTAAGTACTTAAATTTTAAAATAGAAACTAAAACGTTAGCAGTTTTATATCATTTCTTTTTTTTCTTTAAATATATATTATGGTACGGTGTGTTTGCCTTAAGCGTGCTGAACACATAGTATTTACGGTGGTAATGGGGGATCCTGAGGCCCGTCCTCTCATATAATCACACAGCACCTGCAGTACTTCTGTCTTGAGCCTCCCGCTGATGGTGGAGGTGTGACGGGTGCAAAGTAAGCATGCACTTTGATGTTAGGAAGATGGTTCTGTAAAATAAATTTGAAATTTGTCTGATGCTAAACCGATGATAGAACGTACCCTCAATCTCTTGATTCCCATCCTGGTGATCAATTGGCAATCGTAAAGCTCGACTCTTTGCAAATTGTGACATGATGTTAGGTGTTCCAATGAGGCATCCGTGATCAACGGACAATTGTCCAGTTCGAGCACTGTTAAATTTTCGGCGGCGCATGGTGACATCGACAAATGACGAATTCCTTCGTCCGTTATCAATTCGCAGTGCGACAATGTCTAAAAAAACAAAAAACATCAGAATAAATTCAATACTTTTCTATTTAATTAAATAATAATATTTATTGCAACAATAAATCGCCAAAATATAAACTCAATACAATAACATAATAACAAAAATTAAATTAAACTGCTGCAAAAGGCTATTGACCATAAGTCTTTTTGCCCGGGAATTTAAGCCAATAACGTAACAAAATTAACATCTTCTTTTTGATTTGATTTTTTGTTATAGTAATTGTTTTATTACTATAACAAAAAATCAGTAATATTGATAGTTTTTACAATAAAACCGAAATTCTTATGAGTTATGAATATCGCAGACGTCGTACGTTATATGTTGTATGTTATATGTTTCATTATGTTGCAAAGCAAATTGTAATATTTAAAATTATGTCCATATTGATTATATAAATAAATAATCAAAATGTGACTCTTTTGGAAATATTTCTATTTAGCGCGAAATCACAAAAACAAATGACAATGAATAGATATTGAATGGCACTTACAATGGCATTTACATAGATATTTAAAGTTAATGAGAATATTGCATATATCCTGAGTTTCGAGTGTAGAACTTTTTATATGAAACCAAAATGATTTTATGATAAATCAATGACACCAGTATATTTTCGTAAAATGATTATATTCTTAAAATTGCAGTATGGTTATTCCATGTCATAATTATTTTCAGTTAACAAAAACATCGGTATTTATCGCAATACATTCATCAGATAATTATATAATAATTAAATATTTACATATTGATTTAGCAAAAGACATTTGCAAGCTCTTGAAATTCAAATAATATTAATTCCCATTATATCTTGCATACTATCGCTTTCTTGTGTATAAGTTTTATATATTATTACTTTTTATAAAATTGTAAAACATATTTTAATAGGCAACCAAATGTTCTCAAAACACAATAAAATATTTGAAAATCGAGTCAAGAGATACCAGGCCGAAGTTTTAGACTCGTGAATCCTTCATGGCCGACTGGTTTTGCAGAGTCCTCGGCCTAGGCTTCGCTTTTGTCGTATCCGGATATCTATCGCAACTAAATGTAGAGGCGCTCTCTCAGATGGGAGCTAATTACAAAGAAAAACGTGTCCAATAGAATGTTTGTAGATTGAAACGCGGGAGTAAAAACAATTATAATTTAAAATAGTTATTAAAATATTCTAAGTTAAATTTAAATGTATTACAATAATTTCTCTAGAAATTAATGTTAATTACCAATAGAATTTAGGTGTCATAAAAGTGTCATTAATGATTAATATTTCAACAAGAAACAATCATTTAATTAACTGATGTGCTGATTTATTTAAAGTTAGACAAAATGTTGCTTTACTATAGTCAACAGCAAATTTGTATTACAAACTTTTATTTGTTTTTAATTATGGATGTAAATGTTGCATTAAATATGATTATTATAAATAATAAATATTATTATTGAAATATAATCATATTAAAAGAAAAAGAATTAACTGTAAAAAAGAGTTATTGACCATAGGTCTTTTTGACTGTACTATTATTATTATTTCACATTAATGCAAATTATAAATATTAAGTTATTTATTTATTTATTTTTATGTCATTGCAGTTTTATATTATAAACGATTATAAAAGATTTATATAAGTAAAATTTTGAATAAGTGCTGAAAAGAGAAAACAGTGAAATTGGAATAATCTCAATGCGCTTACCAAATATTCTATCCTCGGGCAGCCGGTGGCCAATTGCATCAGAGTAGTATCAGTAATTAAAATGCATTCGTCCAGATCCATTTTTTCGAGATAACAACAGCTCTTTAAACATGAACATGAGAAAATTAATTATAACAAAGGACACAACAGTAAACATCCCATACTTTGGCCAAAGCTTGAAATCCTGTGTCGGTAAATTGAGAGCAGCTAGCCACCTCCAGGGTGGACAGGAACCGGCATTGATGGGCAATCGCAATCAACGAAGCATCTGTTAATTGAGAACAATCGGATAGACATAAATAATGCAGTTTCCTGCATTTTTCCGCCAGCCGTTGCACCGCATCGTCCCTTACGTTCTATACAGATAAGAACAAAAGGTAAACTAAAAGAAAATATGACGACAAGTGAAAACTTAAAATAATCAACGCCTCAAAACGGGATCGCAAAATTATATGTATATAGAGTAGAAAAACGTAGTATGTTTTGACCAGAATGAATATTAATGTAGGAATTGCTAAAAAAAAATTTACTTACACAGCATCCTTTCAAATTTACAACTTCTAATTGAGGACAGTACTTGGCCAGACAGCCCACTGCTTTTGAAGTGACCTGTTTGCAACCTTTGCTAATGAAGTTCTTCAGCTTTGGGCAGCTCCTTGCCAGAGCCTCAACCCCATTTTCTGTAATGTTACTACACCAACTTATGTTGATGAATGTCAGCTGTGGGCAACCTTCACTTAAATTCTTTAGAGATAAATCCGTTATCCCAGCAACACCATCTAAATTCAGCTTCTGCAGCTTGGAGCAGTGCCTTGATAATGCATGGCAGGTGGTGTCTGTCAATTTCTTACAATCATTCAAATTCAAATCCTCAATGTTTGGACATAGCAGAGCCAATGTCTTAATTGATGTGTCCAATATGGACTGGCATCCCCTCAAGGAAAGCTGCCTCAAGAATCCACCACATCTTCTGGATATGTTTTCAATAATTGGACCCTAATTCAAATGTAAATCAATTAATAATGTTGTTAATGAGAATGGAGTAATAATTAAATAGAATTATCACCTCTACATCTTTTTGGAAATGAAATAAATCAATTCTCTGCCAGTTTGAACCATCCAGTGCTAAGACATTCCAGGCCTTTGATACTTGAGCACAGCGACACAAGGATATGACATCCAAGTAAGAAAATATACGCAGATGCAGTTCCTTTGGGAGTTTCTTGTTAATGAGGGCTTCATCTTCTGCAAAGGCCTTTGTTAACTGAAAAGTATGCAGTACACTCACAAAAGACGTTGCAAGGTTAAAGTTGTTTTTATGAATATTGCTAATTCTACTAATCACCTTTATCACTTTATGTATAAACCAATACTTGGTGATAAGGATATTATTGACGTTTTCAATTAAAACAACAACAAAGGATATGCTATGAATTTAAAATGGAGGTAAATATTAGAAAAATGTGGGCAAATGTGTTTTGGAAGGATAGTAATTGAACAACAAAGGATGCAGTGACGAAGGCTACGTTTAATTCGGAATACGTCTATTTTTTCTATTTTCTTTGTTATTCTCTTGAGAATCGGAATTCGAATGGAAAAATGCGTATTTAGTGGTGGCGAGGAACGCGAAACAGCCGACTATGGTTGATGCAAACAAAATACACGACGCATTATTTGACGTTTTAAAATCAGCTGTTTTCAATCAAAACTTATTGTAGCAGGAAATTCTCAGTTTGGAAGGCAGGAGGAACGCGAAAAACGTAGAATACGTAGAAAGGACTTACCTCGAATTTATTCCTGGGCGCATAACTCATTATAAACAATCCGAATCACGACCAGCCTTAGTTCAGCAACACTCTGATCATTTATAAGACAACTACATCACCGAAGTCTCAGTCGATTTCAGCGAAACTGGTAGTAGACGAACGACCTTGGATGGCCGCGCTGGCAGCGGCGAATCACGTAACACCGTTTTGTTTACGAGCACTCCGATTGGTCGGCACCCGTTCAAAACAAAAACACCCCCGCGACATTGCCGGGGTCTTGAATTCCTTAGGAGGTCGATGTACATACAGAAACCGCCTGGAAAATAATTCATTCGGAAGTTTCGTCTGTGAGAATTCCGAGTCTCTGACCCCTGGATGTCTGGGCTCGCAGCACACCCTAGCCATTTTTATGGCCCCTCGAACATCCCCTCTTCACCGTCCCCCGCCTCTACGTCAGACCACGACGCACAGACCTCATCCCAATGCCAATGAACTTTTACCATATCGATTTCTATAAACAATTTACGGTCTCGTTTCGCCTCAGCATCGGCAATATTTACCTGAATTATTTAAAGGAGGCGAAATAAATTTTAAAATCATAATGAAACGAAGCCACGCGAATCGTTTGGAACGCGTCCAAAGTATTCACGCGAATACTATTCATTGTTTATTTCCAAATTGCAGATACACAACATGAAAAACAGTATATTCTGTTATTCACGACAACTGCATCTAATGCATAAATTCGATACAATACAAATATATGTGTATTAATTGAGGGTACATCGATATTCGAATGGTGGAATGTTATGTGTAATCAGTTTCTTGGGTTTCTTTAACTCTATTACCGATCTGACAGGCCAGCCAGTTCCCAAATGGCAACTTTCCGTGCAGTACATTCCTGGTGCAGCCATGGTTTGCCAAGCAGTCGCATCGGCCAAAACTGCTTTATAATCAACTCCATTTTCGAACAAATACGGATGAAATACAGAATAGGTCTGATTGCAGAATTCCTCTTTCGCTTCAGATAAATAGGACCTTTAATATCAATTAATAATTCGGATTAACAAATAAATATAAATGACTCGCCTATGGGGGATGGTTTCGCTGTGAAGAGGTAACTTTTTTTTCCTCAAAATAGGAGGTTCCCGTCTGGCATTGAAAGGTCCAATATGAATATCATTTTTAGGACCGTAACCTTTGCTCTAAAAATATATATCTTAATGTGTTCAACATTAAAAACAAAAACAAACCCCTCTAGGTACTCCTGATCCATCGTAGAACGTAATGATGTCTTTCTTCGCGATTCCGTTCTGTTTAATTTGATCATACGGTACAAATGACGCTCTACTAGTTGTAAAATAAATATCGCAGTTCTTCATGAATCCATTCTCTTCTGGTCTCAAAGGGGGTTGCTCGTCTTTTCCGTAATTCCTCAGTTCGCAGTATTTGTAAGGATTAGGTGGAAAAACCGAACGACTTTCATATTTAGCAAATTTTCTGTCATAATCTTCCTGAGTTACGGATTTCTTTGTCGCAATCGGACGAGGAGGATCTTGCGTTAACTAATAAATAATACGATTAAAAATCAATAACATCTTTTGACTCCGTACACAACCTTCTCTTGAATATCTCGAAAATAGTGAACTTTCCAAAAATTGGTTGGCACTTGCAAATCCAAAGGATCCTTAACGGATTTTTTAGCAAGGTAGTTCTTCCCATAATCGGAAACATAAAAATCATCCTTGAAAACTGGATTCTGAACGGATTTTGTTGTCGTTTTGACTCTCTAAATAGATTATTGTATTTAATTAATGTGAAGAAATAAATATAAAGTTCTTACGGCGTCAAAATCTTGTGGGTATGGTGCAATGAATCTGTGATTAGTACCGCTGGAAGTCCTGTAATCAGTACTCTTATGCACGGAAATCGGCTTGTTATAATCCGTGTGATTGTAGGAGGTAGTATTGCATACCAAATAAGAAGGCATTGTCTTTGTCAGAAGGGAATTTTGTCGAGAAAAGTAAAAATAGTAGTGGCCCTATCAACATAAAATCGATTAAACATTCCCATGGAGACCTAGTAGGGTGGCATATAGAAGTGACAAATTCCAAACAGTCAAAAAATAAAGAACAATTTACGGAATGGAGGATGAAGGTTCAGTGCACGTCGTAATTCGGGAGCCAAGTAGCTCTGATAGCAGCATCTCAGAGGAGGTTACGCCAATTGAGGACGAGGAAAGTTCTTACGACTCGGAGGACGACGATGCACCTATCAAGCAGCTGAGCCAATTTGAAATTGGAATTTTTGAAGAACTGTCCGACGATGATTTCGTTAATTTGGTGTCCAATGTTGAATCGGAAAAGAGGCATTTGATACTTGAAAATAGAGTCTTTCAAAACTTTCTGCTTACAAATGAACCAGTCTTGCTCTCTGGTACATCAAACCAGATATAAAGAAAATTCAAGGATTTTGATTTTTTTGCACCTTAGGGCTGCAGCAAGCTCTAAACGCTATTAAAGAATTGGAGCAGATACAACCTCTGGTGCCTGCAGGATTTCAGAGGCCGAATGCTTCCGAGATTCCACAATCTGCTAAAGTTTACATGTTTTCGGATAAAGGAAACAGGTGATGTGATAACACATTTTTATTATTAATTTAAGTTAATCTGAGACAAGCATCATCAACATATTCTAAAACAAGATTTTCACCATTATATAGAAGATTTGCTGCAATCAAATCCTCCAATTTATCTGAAACTAATTTTGAAATAATATCCCCTCCATCCTCTTTGAACAGCCTTAATTTTAATGCTGCACTTTGATTATTTTTATTTTGAACTTTACATTCATCAGCAACTGCATCAATAGCTCTACCCACAGTCCATGTTTTTGAAACGAACAAAGGACTGCTTTTGCATCCACTTGATTTGGGATGTTTAACATTGAAGTACAATCTGTCTGTTGTTGGAATTGTCTTTAGGCCATTTGCTTTATTTTTTATTCTCATCAATTGAATTTTGTTCACCATCTCAGCATTTTTACTCTTTTTCTTTACAGCACTGATGTTCAGTTCAATCTAAGAAAAATAGAAATTAATTATTAAAAATGAACAATTTCACTAAAAAAGAAACAGCTTACTTGTTTATCAAGAATATCTTTAGCCTTATTGAATTGTTCAATTGGTGCATTCAGTTTTTGAATGGCAGCAGCCTTAATTTGAGGATCTTCCTTGAAGCATTCACTTATGTGTCTATGTATGATGCAGAAGTGCTGCTTACATTTCTCACACATTAATGGAATAATGCTGGTTTCTTTGCAATTGGGATGGGAGCATTTATAAAGATCATCTATTTTTTTCAAATCAGAGACTTGCAAATTTTTCGTTAAGGTGCAGGTGGTGACATGTTCTCTGAAGTGCTGTGAGCAAAAGATCTTCTTGCACTTGCATTGTAATGGTAAGAAATCCAATTGTTTGCATGATGTATTGTCACAGCATTTACCTATCTGAGGTAGCTCCATTGTTAATGTTCGCTTATTGATGGAAGAGCAATATCAGTCCACTTTTGCTCTTGCTCCTTCAATGTTAAGTTGGCGTCGCCGTTATCTGCTTCTGGGTCTGAGAGCTCGTGTAAAGGCACTGTGATGTCTCCTTCAGGCAACTTATCCGATCTCCACTCATCATCCACCAGGTCAACAAAGTAGCCTTCTGTTTGTACTTGACTATCCATTTAAGATTTTGACTTGCGATTGATTACACGCGCAATTTGCAATAATTTGATTTTCACTCAATGACTGTCAAAATACAAATAACAACGGACACGAAACAAGACGTTCGAGCATCCGATCCAAATTTATGAGTTTTATGATGTGCGCATGCTCATAAAAGAAATCGCTAGCAGGGGTCTAAAGTCGCTAGTTAATTAATTCGCCACTTTTACAACAACGCCAATCTGACTAAAATACCCTGTGCACAGTTTGTGCTATGAGGTTATACCTAACTTTTATGCAACCAAACGAACGTAATTCACCAGTCCCTTTTTTTAATATACAGTAGAACCTTGCTTAACGAGTTTAATCAGTTCCAAAATATCCGGATTTTTACCGGTATAGCGAAATATATTCAAAAATACACATAATAAACAAGTTTTAAAAATGATGTAGCAGGCGCGCAATCCGGGACTTCTCTTTTCATCGTCGCTTGTTATGCGAAACGTCGCTTGTTAAGCGAGTCATTTTTCTTACAATTGATTTTGCTCGTTAAGCAAGGTAAAGGCTCATTATGCGAGGTAATCGTTACGCGAGGTTCTACTGTATCTGCTTTGCGTCAAGCGACACGCCAACGCCGATAGTTATTCTTCTGACATATCTGCTGGCATCTGCTTTACAGAATAAATATATCTCAACGTACGGATCTTGTTTTGCGAGATGTCGAAGAAATGCAAATTGCCTTGGATACATTTATAGAAAAGGCGAAGCGCACGAAATTCAAATATAAGGCAGAAATAGAAGAATCGACGATCCGCGGTGAAGAGATAAAAGATGCTAGAGAACTATTCGAACAGAGTATCGTTATTGACGCAGTTGATCCAATAACTCAAAGGATTCCAGCAGAAAAGTTTGTCTGGTACGCTTTATCAACAATTGGATATGAGTATTATGAGTTTATTAATTGATTTGTGTTGTCGTTAGGTACATGCAAGATTGGTTGAAAAACGCTCGATTAATAACGGAGAAGCTGCGTCTGCGAAATAACAGCTTGAAAATTCAATACAACAAATTAAAAGCTTTGCTGACGCAAAAAATCGAGCTGGGTGAGAGTATCCACGAGGTGGATTTCGAGCAGCTGAGGATCGAAAATAAGCATCTAATTGAGAAGATTGAGCAGAAAAACACACACCTCATAGAACTGAAAAAAATCAATGGTTCATGTACCACCATTATAGTAGTGCATATCGTAACTGATTCTTATTAACTTTAAGGTAAGGCTAACTTGAACTTGGCAACGCACAAAAATTACTTGCAGAAGATATTGGAGGGACTGAAGACAATAAAAAATGCAATCGACGAAAGCCAATTGCAGACTCGCATCCATGAACAGGAAACAGAAGAGGCGAAGAAGGAACTTAATGAAGCTATTACCAAATATAATGATGTAAAAGATCTTATTGATCATTACAAGGTATCGTGTATGGTTCATTTTATTATAACGTTTGGCTATCGGAGGCCCTAGGCGCGCGCCTTTACGGTAGCGCGGTCACTGGCAAAATGATAAATTTCCTTTTTGTAATATTTTACAATTTTATTTTGGGTAATAACAAAACAATTGTCAGAAGTGGGATTCGAACCCACGCCCTCAAAGAGGACCAGAATGCTCTATAGACCTGCATGGGCAGGCAAGGTAAACCTTGAGTCTGGCGCCTTAGACCGCTCGGCCATCCTGACATATGCTTATTTCTTCCGATTGTCGTGTTTCAATTTCTTCGATTAATTATTAATAGGAACATTTTATTAATAATATTTCTATGATTTAAGATGCGTTAATGACCATTTCAATTTAGTTATAAACCGTACTTTATATATTTCCTTATATGGCCCATTAGCTCAGTTGGTTAGAGCGTCGTGCTAATAACGCGAAGGTCGCGGGTTCGATCCCCTCATGGGCCACAGCTCTTTTTTTGTTTACATTTATATTTTGTATCAAGACGGAAATGCTGGACCCTATGTATCGAGTAAGACAATAAATTTACTTTAAACATTTTTAATCGCAATAAATTTTATATTAAGATAAAGAGCTATATTTTTAAAAATATGTTTCTTTATGTATTTCCAATATATATAATTCGACTTAAGTCTGGGGTTACCTAATTCTATTATCATATAGCTGCCACTGAAGATAATCTATATTGTCATTGTCTTTATTACCTTTATTTCTGAATAATAATTTCATAATAAGTACATAAGGAAAAATAAATGTTTAAAATTGGGATACGACGCATTGATATAACTATCACAAGGTTTTTATTTATCGTTTATTGATTACCCTCTTAATGGCTGGGAATTTTCCTTATTCATAGATTATACACGTAGACAAATATTTATATATCCTGTAAACAAATTACTTAGTTGAGTTAGAACATTTATCACGCAACTTACAGAGCATATTCACATTTTTATTACTTATTTTTGCATGATTTAAATATAACAGAATCTTGATTATCATCTATATCATCAAATCATCTATAATTCAAGAAACATGTAAATGAAATTTTAGGTACCAGAAGTTTTCGATTACGTAAAGGTCAAAGGGAGACTGTATGATCTAAAGAAGTCATTAAAAATTTTATCTCGTCGAATAAATATAACGAAGGTATCGTCTTTTGCTCTTTGTATAATTAGAATTTGCACACCCTAAACGTAATTTAATTTTAGATAATTTTAAACACGAATACAAAGAAAATGATGAAACTCACTAGAGAGAAACGTCCACTTCCAAATTGGTTTAAGTAAACAACTTTAAAAATCTGTTATTTAAGTTGAGTTAATCGCAAACAATTCCAGGGAACAAGATGAAACTGATGATTATGATGACTTGTACGACGAAGATGATTATATTTATTCCAATCCAAAAGATATTTTATCAAAAGATAACCGAGTTTCTAGTGAATTCGATATCTTCAAGGCATTAAAGTGATGCTCCAATTACTTTATTTATAAAATACATAAATATATTTTCCATGACAGTATAAATGTATTTTATTTATCTTAATCAATAGATCATTTAATGAAAGATACATCCTCACGATTTAGCTTAACAAATTATATTACATTATATAGGAAAATTGCTACTATTAACATGCTAATTTAATACTCATAATATAATACTATATACAACGGTATGCACACGATTGCTTTGAAATTGCCGATTTGAATTATACTTGAGGGGAATCCCCTAGTTATATATATATAATCACATACAGAATATAAAAGCTAATTGCATAATACAAATAAAATATTGAAGTTCTAGACATGACGAGTGCATCTCAGTATTTGCCAGTTACCTGGACGTCAATGAAGTGCGAAGAAATGGTTCCCAGAGGTTCGACAGAGTTTAATTCATTGTGTGCGTGTATTAACCTATCGTATGTCACTTCGATAAAACGTATACAAAATGAAAATAGATATTATATGTTTCTTGCTAGACAACAACACATGAAGCAATTATCCAAACGTACAGCATTTTACATTGTAAGTAAGATTATTCTATAGTGAATTGAATTTGAATATTGGGAAATTGTATTTTAGGTACGAAGATATGTAAGCATCTCCAAAAAAAAATTAGCAGAGGCACTTAAATATAATTTAGATACAAGGAGAACATCAAGGACCTATAATTTTAAAAAAACTGTGGATTTTTCAATGAACTATGTAATGGTTATTCTTATGATAACATCAAATATTTCTGCAGAGGAGCTTTTCCCAGCTCGAGACTCAGATTTCTACATTGAATACATTATAAGATTATAAAAATTTTGGAATATGTTTTTTTGTTCTGTATTGTTATTTATTAAATATATATTTTGCAAATGACTAACTACATTTATGTTTTGTAACACATTTCCTAGATAAAATATTATGTGCTACTTCTGGTACAATTAAAAAAAGTATAAATAATTGATTACAGAATATTCAAATACAGTGGAACCTCGCTTTAACGAGATTTAATTCGTTCCAAAATTTTCGGATTTTTGCTCGTTTAGTGAATTACTCGTATTGTCGTGGCCGACCAATTTATAATCATCTATTGGATAACTAATATGTATATTTGTTAGGTCAACCACTTTCCTCTTAATTATTACAAATCATATTTAACGTATCCATCAAATATACAAACGGATACTTGTACGTGATTATTTAGAATAACTTGTGGAATATTCCGAAGGACGGTTACACATTAAATCGTATAGTTGCGTCTATTGTATCACCACTTAACAGCTTTCTTCCGCCCCTAAATATTTGTGTAGGATCATAAAACTTTGATAAAGTGAGGGTTGTATATTCCACAAGCTCAAACCTGATTTCCTTACCTCCCACACTTCCCCTTTTTGAAATTAACACATTTTTATTTTATATAATTTAGTCTCTAGTGAGATGGTCGAACTGAGGAGTTGGTCTTACTTGGAGAGTCCAAGGAAAAGCACTTACTTCTTAAATACTAACTTAAGAGGAGAATGTAATTCTTAGTAATAATTCATGAATTCAACTATTGTATAGTTGACTTCTCAATAAAACTCCGATGTGTATAATAAAGTTAATTAAGTATATTGCATTTAATATTCATAAACCCCTCTAAGACTCCGCAACGACATAAATACGAGATAATCCACGGTGTCCAAGGATTCCTTAATCCCGGGACACGACAACTCGTTATACGAAACATCGCTCGTTAAGCGAGTTATTTTTCTTACAATTTATTATGCTCGTTATGCGAGGTGCTCGATCATTTTGCGATCATAATTTGTTCTGGAAACGTTCTCGTAGAAATTTTTCCAAAATTCGGAGGGTAGTTGATCACGCTCGTTTATCAAGTTAAAATTTATTTATTATAGTCAGAGGCGTTGTTACGACTGGTTAATCGAAAATATGGGGCCCACAAACAGTATTTATGCCCGGGGCTATAACTAATTTCTAACGCAGCCACTGATATACGTGTTGCCATGGTAATAATCAATACATACAAACAAAAGTATTGTGAGACGAGAACGATATTAAATGATGGATTCAGATTTATTGAGAAGAGAAAAAGAGTATCATGATTTGAATAAGGAATTAGAGCTCAAAACAAAGGAGCTATTACAGGAAGTCCACCATGTAATGGTAAGCAACAAAATGATAATAACAATAAACTTGTAGCACTTCTAATAATTTTAATTATATGTCAAGAATCAAAACAAGAACGATTTTACAATACACTTTGATCCCGGAAAGTATGAGATTGAAAATGATTTATGCCAACGAAAATCAAAATCTGCAATTACAAAGAAATCGGATGCATTCAGAGTCGATGAAAAAGATTGCAAAGAATTAAATATACCAATAGATATCAATAATATGGGAGCCAAAGGATTAGTGCACTTCTTGAAAGCTAAAGCCAAACAACTTCAGATGGATTATGATAAGTTATTAATCGATTACAAACAGAAAGTAATAGTTCAACGATAATATTCAGATGTGATTAACGTAGATTGTAATTATTATTTTTCAGTGTGAAGAAATTAAAAAATTGCAGAGGGAAAACGGTAAACATATCGAGCAGAAAGAAAAGTGGCTACAAAGTTCAAGTGCTTCTAAAAACACATCAGCAAAATTAGAACAACAAGTTAGAAATTTTATTATAATTAGAATTATTTACTTTGATCTAATCATTTTAGAAAAACATCTTGCAGTGTAAATTGAACGCCAGAGAAAATGAAACTGTTTCTCTTAAAAAGGAAATAGATCAATTGCATAAGGAATTAAAATCACTTAAATCAAATACGAACAGTTTGGATGTAAGGATGACAAGAATTGTAGAAGAAAATGACAAACTTAAAAATGATCTCAAAACCTGTAAGCAGGAAGAAAAGGTAATTTTTGTATTACTTTTCTAGAATTATATTAATATTGAATTTAGGATCTCAAAGAAGTTCACAGGAAGGAATTGAGTAAATTAACAACTTCGATCAGGAATATCGAAAAATGTAAAGACGAACTAATAAATGGCTTCAAAAAGCAACTCCTACTTATTGACAATCTAAAGAAGCAGAAGGTTCATATTGAATGTCTAAAATTAACTGAGAAATGTGAAAATGACTTGATGAAAATCTTGGATTGGAAAGTTGAATAAAAACAAGTTAATTGAACTCTAATGAAACATTTTATTATAACTAACAAAAATAAATATTTATTCTAATCCTTAGAACTAAAAAATAATGTTATACTAGATTATTTGAGAACCTACTAATACAGTTTAGAAATATACTATATTTATGGAATAAAAGTCCGATTATAAAAAAAATGAAATAAAAACTAATTCTAACGTGCAATGCAAACAAACTACAAAAAATATAGAAGATTATCCATTTTCACTCCTCTGTAGACGTCTCTGAGAGACTGTGCGGTCAAAAATGCCAATTTATGGGCATATTGGCAAGGAGCTGGCACACGTACGGTTCCAGACCAATTATAGTACATGTGCGTTAATTTATACGATAACAACTGCAGTTTGTCGGCCGACAAACCTGCTGTATCATATATAATGTTATATGAAGTGGGGGTAACAGTGCCCTGATGTACGCACTGAGATACCAAGAAGAAATCATACCTATAAACATAACGGATAAATAACAGTCCCAATAACAAAAATAAATATTAATTACCTTTGCGGCAAGGTAATACAACTATCAACCACTGTTCCGGCATCTGGGTTCTTCTCATTGTTAAAAATCCTGGTGTTGATCCGCTTTGAGACAACGATGAATGCCAACTTCAGTACTTGGTTATTTTCTTTGTAGAATTGCTCCAAATCTGTCTTCAAACGAACAATCTCGTGTTCAAGTACATAGTGTAATTGCCCATCACCGACGCCATCCCTGAATGAATACATAGATTAGACTAACAATATTTCAATTATAAACATGGTATCAAACATACCTGAACAATACAATTCTTTCTGGTAGAATGTTATGGAGCACTTTGTAGCGTTGGACAAAAGCTATGCAATTTATTGCAATGTTGCTACTTAACTCCTGGCCACTTGTGTGTTTGGTAGTGTTGGAACAATATCTGCTTAAATGGGTGTCCATTGATGCCACAATCGCTCCAATCGACTTAGATTTATCATTGGGATCGTGACAAACATCATATCCAATTACCATAAGATGTTTTAATGGTATTAAAACTGTCCAAGGAGATCCCCCAAGTTTAGCATTCAATTGCACAGCTACTTTGGAAACAACAGATAATGAGCCACCTGGTGGAGAACTCGATCCCCCTGCTTTTTGTTTTGGTGTGATATTCTTGGATAGAACAACTTGGCTTGGAATTTCCAACTTTAAGATACATTCCTTTTTAATTGCGGAATATCGATCACTCCTGTTATTTGATAGAATACATACTATCAATTGAGTATTTGGTCTTTCTTGTATATATGCCTTTATTTTTTGTACATATGAAGCACCATCATCGCCATTAACTAAACAATAAGTTGGATTGCCAATCTTCCATGCCATATCACTCGAAACTTTCTTTAAGGTGTTGACGAATGCTCGAGTATTATTATCATCATATTTGGTGAACATAATTACCCAGTTGTTCAAAGGTTTGTCAATAAACATTTTGTGCGTTTTTAAATCATTTGTCCAATCAACTTTACCTCCTGATGAGAGATAAGCATGATTATTAAAGATCACTTTCTCAGCAGGCAGTACCCTGGCTGGGAATTCAATAATGTTTCTGGCTAATTTGAAATCCCACTGCTTTATCTCTTCCATCGCATTCGCATTATTTCGTATACGTTCAGAGAACTGCAAAGTTTTCCGAATTCTCTCGTTTGGTGTAACCCGGGTGTAATTCGCAAGATTTTTCATCAGCGTAAAGTTTTGACGTTGTCGTTCAGTTAAACCAGTCATTCTGCACAACTCCGGCACCAAATAAATAAATTCAGACATTCCAGCTCGGATCTCCCGTCCTTTACTCTTATGTACGAGAATCGGCTGTCTCATATTGGTAACCTTCCTTCTGTATCTCTCTGCAAAATACTGTGCATAGGTAATTTTAGTTCCATCTTTCTTCAAAAATCCATCAGCAGGTGTTTGCTGTTCATCCACATCTGATATTCTATAAGTTTTATTATTATAATCAGTCAGGACAACACATCCAATTATTCTCTTCTTATATTCCTCTAATGGATTTCTATTTCTAACATTTAAACATTCCGACCAAACATCGAGAGCAGTTTGGAACTGCATCACTTTGTGCGTTATCTCACAGCACATAAGTATTTTCTTCTCATGTTGCCGAATGGACGTTATATATCCAGGCCATATCTCCATTTGCTCCATTGAAGACTTTTCTCCAGGGTCAAAATAATTGCGCCCAACCAATTGCAAATTTAAATGAGTCATACATTTGCGAACAATAATGTTGAAAAGTTGCAAATAATGATGATCACCTTGGACAACATCACCAACCAATTTCAGAGTAATACGCGTCTTGCTGTTATTTGTTGCTAGAATTTCAATAGTATATTAACCTGTAGTACATAATAATAAGTAACTTACCAGCATTTATGACAAACAGCTCTAAGAATTCTTGGCTTAATCTGTTTGGTGCATACAATACTGTTCCATCAAATAGATATCCAAATAAAAAATCTTTAACAGCAGTACGAAATAACGACTTCCTCACTGATGTGAGTTCTTCTTCTGGTGCAAAATCAACTCTATATTGATATATACACCAATTTGGTTTACTTAGAAGGTCAAAGTAATTTGCAGAAACCATTATAGTTCTGCCAGTTGTTCCTTGCTTTGTCTGGCAAGTCGCTGGCTTTGTTACAACATTGTAGTCATTAACAATGACTCTTTGACCTCTTATCCCTCCACGACCAGAATATTGAACTGATGCATCTCCGCCAGCTCCAGGTCGAGCCTCATCTATTGCTTGAGGAGCACTTGATGTGACATCGCCTGCGGCTTGCGAAACGGCAGATGCAGGTTCTTCATAGTCACGTCTGATTTCTCTCTGCGGTGGTTCATATTGTTGTGGGGCCTGGCTTCTAGCTGCCCAAGCACCTTGTGGCTGTGGTGCTCTAGCTGGGTAAACAGTTTGTGGTTGTGGGGCTCTGGACATTTGACTACTTTGAGGTCTCGGCATGGCAGGAACAGCTTGGGGCGCTATTTGGGGTCTTTGAGACCATGCTCCCATTGGTGGCTGCGGTTGGAATTGAGTTGGTGGGCCTCGATGGCCACCGCGTGGAGGTTGTGGGGTTTGAGTAGGATTTTCTGGTCTGTAACGACCACGAGGAGATTTTCCTCTGCCACGACTGAAACCGCTCATCTGAAACAAGCATTTAAAAATAAATTAAAAGTTATTCATACTTAATATATATATTACATATATGCGCATTTACAAGAGATTAGATAACAGTCTTATCAGCATTGATATTTAATAGATTCGAAATGCGATATATACGTTTTGTGTCATGCAGTTAGTTATATTTAGTTAGGAGAAAAAAAACTGTGATGGAACAAAAGCAAACTTCGCAACAAACAGTGCAAAATGAAAGTCTTAGAATTGATAATGTGCTTACAACCCAACCAGAATTGGGTCCAAGTGTACCAGATGGTGGATATGGATGGATAATATTGTTAGCTGTATCATTTTTTAAGGTGTAAACTCAAATTTCAGTGTATCACATTATGTAAAAGTTTTAAATCCAAAATGTATTTATAACAAAAAGATAAATGAAAGAAAATTTATTTTTTTCATATTCTAAATATGTTTACTAATTTGAAAGAATATTGTTTGCATTTATTTATCAAATCATTGTCAGCGTTACATTTCATATGCGCAAAATATTCAAATTAAAAGAACAGGCATTCTATTATTGTGCATTCATCTGCAGAACACAGCACTATCGACTCTGCTTATCAAGGTTCCACATAAAAATTGTATCAAGTATCTTAACTAAATAAATATCTTGGTTACTGTATACAATAACATCAACATCCATTCTTAATAACAATTACTCATTGTATTATTTACTTTTAGGTCTCATTACCAAGCATAAAAATTGCTTATGGATTATTTTTAATGTACTCAACACTGGAAACAACAAATAACATAAATTTAGGATTATTTGATAATGATTTAATTTTGACTCCTATCATATTTTTTGTTGCATCAACTATTTTAGGTGAGTATTATCTTCAACTCAAAACTATTGTAAAAAAAACTGTTTAGATTAAAAAATATTTACAATGTTTCAAACATCTAGATTGTAAATAAAATATAAGCTTCTATCTTAACTGGATATAACAAAACTTTTACAAAAGTATGATTAATAAACGAATATATAAATAAGGACGGAAAAACTTATGGTAATAGGCTATTCGAACAGTTAATTATTCATTTTTATCTTGATTTGATATAAATAGCCTTCCTTTTCATGTATATATTTAACTGTCTCAGCACTATAAAATTAAGTTGCACGCCTCAGTTCTAAATGATAAATTAATCAATAAGGAAATTTAGCTAAATGAAATTAATTACCATGATATCGAATAATTAATAATGCTCATTAAAATAATTAGTATTCTTTAGATTAAACTTAAATTTGAAGACTTTCTTAAAAAGTTATTATAATTTGAAAATTGCCTGGGATAAAATTTGTAAATGATTATAAGAAAAAGTTACAATTTGATTATATTAATTAATCTACTTCAATAATGAAATAGTTGCAATAGAAAGATTGTTAAATTTAATTGTATACTGCTCATTCCAACAGCCTCAATAAAAAAATCTTACTAATTTTATAAAGGTATTTCTTTCAATTGTATTGTAAAAGTGTTTAAGTAAAAAGTATTTCTTCTTGTTCGCATTATTACAACAAAATTGGTGATGTTCAGTAAAACAAAAGCACCCCTTTGCTGAAAAGGAAGACTACATCCCCAGACGCTTCAATTGTAGCGCCAATGGCGCAAGCAATAATAGTATTGTTTTCTTTGATATTTGGCCCATTTGATTTCTGGAGACGAGTAGCGTAACTTAGATATTTGGTATATGATTAACTTTCTGTGCCCTGAATATGAACAGTTTTACTACTTGCTCCAGCAGCGAGAGGATTTTGAAAAAATATATTACGACGCACAATACATTTAAATCGAGTTAATAAATTGAATAGCAATAAAGATTGAAAATTATTAAAAATCTAATCGCTGCTCTGCGATTGTTATATTTTCCAAGCAAATTTTATATTAATAATGTAAAAAAAAAATCTGAATAGAATTTCAAAATGGATGGTCATCCGTACAGCACTTTTAAAGAGTTGTAACAAAAGAAACTACAAAATTTGATAGACAAATGAAAAATGAGTACCTAATTATGGCTTTATTGTACATAATTAATTACTAGGAGACTCCACACAAAATGAAATAAATAAAATATAAAAAATTTCAAACTTACTTTGGTTGTACTGAAGATACCGACGACGCAGTGCCACACAAGATTAGAACTGCAATAAAAAAATGTGCAAATCCAGCGTATTTATACTCTTCGTTGTATGGTTTCCGGCAAATATAACTTGCCGATTGGTTGTTTCAAATATTATCCCACCAGTTTCCGGTTCGTTGGAAAATTTGAATTTGAATTAGTTTGTTGTTTTGTAATGATTTTAACGAGAAGCACTTTGTTTTTTCAGATCCCATAAGCAGGAAAATGATTACGAATAGTAAATGGCCTAGACTATTTGCATTATCTGGAGTCTGTCTAACGTGTGCTGGAATTCTTTTCCTTTGGATAGCACTTGACCATCACGGCCATTTAGCAAGATTTCTTTACGTTTTAAGTGGATTGTCTTCAGGTTTTCATACAATTACTCAATTATATGCATATTTCAATGCTTATTGATGTTGCAGGCTGCGGCGTGGCCCTGGTTGAAACACAATGTGAGGTGTTGCTGGCTCAATATTTCAGATTAAAACTCAATTCCATCAATGTTGTCCTACAAATAATGACTTGTATAGGATATATTTTTACTCCAATTAGTTTGGGCCATTATATAAATATGTATGGTATCGTTCACGTAATTATTTGGTATCATTTATATATCTTGATTGGAGTTGGTGTGTGCACTTTGTTTAAGAAGCCAGATTACCTAAAGGGAAAACTCACCTATAATTCGGTTAAAGTAAGTATCAGAATTTTTACTTTACCATCTTTATATTGATTACTTTCCATAGGTGGGCCTTGTATTAGATGAAGAAGAAGACATTTATTCAGCAAAGAAATCCACTGAGTTGAAAGAAGCTCGAATAGTTGAACCGAATGCTGAGAACAATGAACCAATTGCTGGTACAAGTTCCAGTGATATGGTTGAAGTTGATGTGCACAATGCAAATAGCAATTGGGAAAAGTTTTCAGATGATGAAAATGATGATGAGCATTTTCATGAATTCAAAAATAACATGGCTGCACCGAAAGAGTTATTCACTGATTTGCATCTAAATAATAATACAACCTATTCATTTGATAATAGTGATATACTAAGTGCCAATGATGATACAAATATCTTTATGCCCAACACCAAAAGTGTGTCACAGAGTTATTCCTTTTTCAAGGAGGGTTCATTTTACAAATCTGTTTTGTTGCAAACCACATTAACATATTCGAAATTCATCTTTTACACACTTTATCCAAGTACCTTGTACTTCAATATCAGTTTGCACATTGAGGATATTAATGCAGTTTTATGCTACTTATTTATTATCAGTAGTATCATTGTTCTGGCTTCTAAAATATTTTTAGTTAACATTAATAATAAGAATTGTGCAATTTTTGTTGTTATAGTTTCATGGATTGGAACTATTGGATACTACAGTAAGCATATTATTTAATAGTGTTAAGTTAAAATTCAAATTTGTATTATTTTCAGTGATTTCCGATATTCCCTTCGAGAACGTAAAAGTCTTTGGCGGTGGATTGTCGCTCATAAGCATAAGTGTTTTGCAATATTTGACCGAAGGTTTAATCACGCCGAACGTAAAATCTGAACCGAACCGCGTGTTCATATTTCTGAACTTGTTGTCAGCCTTATGTTTCGTATTATTAAGCGTTAGAAGTAAGTATTATTACGCAATTGGTAAGATAAATTGGATTTATTCCCTTTATTTTAGATATTACATATACAAATTGTTTCCGGTTAATGGGATTGTTGCAATTCGCAAATGGATCCGTGTGGTTTTGCAATTTCATTTATAAGAAGATTATAAGGGTAGATTAAATTGTTACAATAAGATGGTTGATAAATAAATTTTGTTAACCCAAGAAGCCAAGTGGTGGAATCATGTTGTTGGTTGTTTGCTGTTGCCTCCTCCCAATATTCAATATATCAATTTTATTCACAATTCCGCCAATTTTCTTATGCGTATTGTCAATCGTCGGCACCAATTTGTTAATATTACTTGAATTAACTGTATCAAAGAACAGATTCTCGACGTTCTTAATAGATGAATCAATAACGTTCAAAAACTGGCAAGTCTTGCTTTGCAATCTCTGCGCGAGGCCAGCCCACAGGCCCATCTCGCAAAATCGGAAATTTTTCGTTATCTTTGGTTTAGTACTGATCTGGATGAAACTATTATCTTGTGAAAACGAGGGCACGCGTTTGTTGTTGATTGTAATTTCTCCGGTTTTAACGAACTCTGCTATCATAGCCGTATATCTTTCGCGGACTTCCATATCCTCTACAGATAAATCTTCTGGCTTGTCATTCAAAGGAGTACCATCTAAATTTCTTGCCTCAAAAATATATCCTAAATCATCGCCATGAGATACAAAATCGTCGTTAGTTGTCTGATTACCAATTAGGGAAAGTCCTTTCAGGAAATCTCGTCCTTTTCTAGCCTTACCGACATGTTCGAAGCTGTACAAGTAGGTTTTCGAAGTCTTCTTGGACCAGAGATCGGCGGTCAGAAAAGCTGGTAAATTGAAAAGAGCATCCACTGCAAATATAAATATATTTTTTTTATTACCAATTTTTTTTATATTAATTAATATTACCTGTAGCTTGAGATATTTTTGACAGACCTTCCAACACATTATTTTTCTCGATCTGGACGTAGTTTCTAAATTTCAAAGGTTCCAAAATATTAAAGAAACCTCCCAAAAGCGAATTATTCGCTATTGTTGTGAAATTTTGCAGATTCTTTATCAAAACATAATCCAGGAAATTAGGGATATTGTGCAATTTTTTCACAATTTCCTCTCTGTATTTACCTAAATATAAATGCATAAAGAATACATATTAAATAGCTTAATTGATTTAGAAAACATACCATTCACTGCTCTTTTGGTTTCGTCTCTAGTAACTCCAGTAAGCAAAGGAATGTTTGGAATGTTTCCGTTGGTCATCTCGTCCATAGGTGGATATTCAATGGCAGCTGGTAAACTCCGCCCGTCAAATCGTCCTTCTGCGTTTGGTGCAGATCCCAGCAAACCGTTCATCCCGGACACGAATCCTCTAGAATTTAATCTCGTTCTTTCCAATTGATAATCACCTTCAATAATACTGTCAGGCGGTAAATTTTGCATGCACTTCAACATCACCAGTATCGAACTGGTTGGACATCCATGGTACTGTGCCAATTCTTCGGCAGTCAATGCAGGGCTATTTTCTAAAGCCCAATGAGATACTGCAGTTCCAGACATTGCGACAACCGCACTGACAGAACCTTGAGCTATCGTCGTCAATGCTAACATCAAAGCGCTGCTGGCACCAGTTCCTTGACCCATTACTGCAATTCTATGAGGATTGCCTCCAAAAAATCCAATATAGTTTCGAACCCATTGCACGGCAACAGCCATATCCCATAATGCTGCATTCCCCGGAAGCTCCGGAGTAGCAGTGCTCAAAAATCCCAGCGTTCCCAATCTATACTGAATAGCAACCAAAACCAGTTTCTGTCCAACCAAATTCCTCATCTACAAAGTTACAATTAATATACAAAAAACGTATCTAAATGTAGCATTTACTCCATACTGAGAAGCAGAACCATGTCGGAAACCACCACCGTGAATCCAAATAATAACAGGATATCCTAATACATACAATAAGTAATATATTATAAACGATAATAAAAAGTAAACTTAAAAAATACCTTCGGTTCCATCTGGAAGGTTCGGAGTAAACACGTTTAGAAATAGACAGTCCTCGTTTCCGATAATTCTGCTATCACCTGGAATATTCTGCAAACAGGCAGGAGGATATTTCGTAGCATCAATATCTCCTTCCAAAAAGTACTGCCTTGGTCTCTGAAGCAATTAATATTATATATAAATTTTCAAAACCTAAAAATAATATTTACCTGAAATCGATCTTTGCCATTCGGTTTATGCGCATATCTGATGCCCCTGAAAACGTAATGCGGAGTATCAAGAACACCCTTAATATATGCCGATTTAGCAGCAAATCTTAAGAACACTCGTGGATCATCTGGAGGCGGTAATTGCGCTGGAGATCCACCCACAATTCTCTTCACCCTAGGATTACTTTCAATTAGAGGCATATAAATAGCCACTATTATAATTAAGAGTCTTAACGATCCGGACATGTTGAACGCTAATAACTTATTGTTTTGCAATTTTTATCCCATACTCCGGATGTCTTTCTTATCTGTAACACCCACAAATATTTATCTAAATTGTTTCACAGCGAGTCAAAAATTACGAGAGCGTGTGTAACGTAAAATATTTTTTATTCTATTTAATATATACAATTACAAACTAAAGTATAAAGTCAAGTTTTTTTTTATAACTTATATGAAATAATATATAGAAACAAATAAATCTGTTTATTAAACAGTATTTTTTTGGGTTAACGTATTATCTTCGTATGTTTCCAAGACGTCAGCCAAATGCTCGTTGTCTCTTGGTTTTTTGAACGTCCGCTTCTTTTGACCGGCACGTTTTCTTTTAGGTGCCATAGGTTTCTTGGGACCGTGATCCTGCATCGACCTGATACCCTGTTTCTCTAAATACTCATCAATTTTCGCATCGTCCATTGCATCCACGGCGACAGATCGCCAGAGCTTTTGAAACTCTTCGTCGATTGGCATCGACGCCGTCCTATCATTATAAAATAGAACTTTCTTCTTGTCCATAGGCCGAACAACAAAAATAATTTCATTTTGATTTTGAAGTACCTGAGGTACAAAAGAAACAGTTACTGAAATTCGATATAATTCACAACATTGCATGATGCACTCACCTTCAAAGCTTTATCGCAGTGCGGCAGGGATTCTTGAACATCGTCCAGCAAAATACCACCCAAACCTTTCAAATCCTGCTGCTTTAACAATTTTAGCAGACTTTTGCGATCTTTCAATTTGAATAGTGCTTTAAATAAGAATTTGCCATCCGGCGAGACTTCAATTTTTGGATTATTTTGAAGAGCTTCTGTTTGCAACCACTTAAAGAAAGAAAACATATTTTATATTCTCACACAAAAGGTAATATTAAAATTTAACGTAATCGTAATATATTGTGAATCAAACAATTGGAAGATTATTATTATATATATTTTTTGTTGTTCGAGTTTGTAATTTCACTTATTATAAAAGTAACAAAAAAATGTCTACATATATTTTATGCATAAATTCATTCACTATTTAATTTATCAATAATTTTAAATGATAAGTCTTATTTCTACCAATGAATGGTATGAATATTGTACTTGAATATGCCATAATTTGTTAAATAATAATTATTATAAAATCAGGAAGAAATAGTATGTATGTGAATATATGCTTGCAATTACAAAATGTTATAAAAATAATGAGATTTTCCATAGCAATGCAATACATTTAAATGTATTTATGTATATAATAATCACTATATATATATAATTGTAATGTAACAGCATATATAAGAAATAATAATTTTAAACTTTACTTTGACATTAATCACTTACTTGTTTAACTTTGCCGCCAACATCCAACTGATTAGTTTCATCTAAAATCTCCTCTAAAGCTAGTGGATGCATATCACCTTCTTGGTGCCTGGTTCTCATGTGTTTAACTATTTTTGCCAAAACACCAAATCTGTATTGAGAACTTCCGGATGATGTTTTATATCTAAATAAACATAGTAACATTAGAATTGTGCACAAAGTTTATGAACTATATAATTACGTGTTGATATCTAACTTAGGTGCTGTGCTGACAAAAGTCTTCGACTTTTTCTTGTCATCTCTGGGTGGTTCTGATTTGGATTCATTTTTCTTCTTTTCAACTCTATACAAACACAGGAATAGACAATATTAGATCAATTTAACAATATTTAATTAAAAACATTGGTAGGTTATAAGTATAAATATTGGATAAAATTTTACTCACGTTGGTGTTGCGATGGCTCTTTTCTTGAACAGTTCACGTTCCCTCAGCAAGGCAGGATCCATTTTCACTATTTTTATTAGTTATTGGTTTCAAGTCAAACTAGATTACGATCAGTTCTATGTTGTTGTTTTCAGTGGCTTGTTGCTTGCTTGTTTCAACCAGCCATTGACAACCAGTCTCAAACACTCATATCATATGCTCAAATGTTTGCAAGTATAAAGGTATAAACTGTTATGAGACGGTGAGTATGAGGTTGGCAACCCTGCTTCTACAGTGGGTAAAGAAGATCGTTAAACCTACTTGACAATTTGACAATTCCTATATGGTCTATATGGTGCAATAAGGGTTCGTGTCCTGGCTAGTGTTGTCAAAAAGTAATATGGCTGATTGAGCTTTGGTGGAAATTGTTTCAGATCGTTCGTGAATTTGTGTGCGAAACAGTGTTTGTTTCTGTGTCCCCGTTAATAATTTACTGTCCATGTTAATAAGAACAATTTAATTGGTGAGTATTGCATTGGCCGGACGAGTTTCTGCCGCATGAACCGCCACTTGAATCTTATGCTTTCTTGAAGCGTTTTCGTGTCCCAGAGGATGCTAAGGCGGTTTATTTTTCTTGATTTTTTCGATCGTCTGCCGCATTTACTATCGGATTTACTGCCTGCCTTAAATTTACAATTCGCTGCATACAGGTTTCCCGAGTTTTCAATCATTATTTCAGCCCGTCCTTCAGATCTACCTTATTTGACAACCAGCAATTGTAACACATGATATTTTCACTTAGATTTCTGTTTGTAAATAATCCATGAAAACATTCAGATCCCTGCATCTGATATTCATCTGAAACATAATTCAAATGAGTTTGTATTCTATTGCAAACATGTTATATTGACCTTATCAATTAGATAAATTTTATTATTATTATCTTGCAACAATGATTATCTTTCCATGATAATGCACTAAGAATTCAAAGTGCTAGATGCTGGATCTGATTTTGTATATTTTTTTGTTTTAGTTAAGCCAAAATGGCATACAGATGTCCAACGGACTTGGATGAGTTCCTGCCCCATCTGCCTAAAGCAGACACAAAGTTCCGACAGCAGCTTGGTGTTGATCTGCTGGCTTTCTTAGCTGAACCATCTAATCCCATCACATGTCAGGATATTGGGCAACTTGTTGATGGGCTAATACCATGGATGCAGAGCAGTAATTATAAGGTAAACATCACATTGGTATTGCTTTAATGTAAAGAGGTTCTAGTTCTTGCCTGAAATGGCAATATGACCTTTCTTCTTGAACTCTTTATGGAGTTCATTCAATAACACAAATAAGATCATATTGTTACCTATGACGTCGTTATTATGAATATTTTTATACACATGCCTACATGGCACAATAAATGGTGCATTAACATTATGTCCACCTTTTCAATCTTTTTTTCTTGTATATATTGAAACGCGGTTTATCAAATTAGGTATGCTCTTTTAAAATGCATGTCTTTACTCTTTGGAAAGTTTTCAACGCCTGGTATTATATGAACAGTGATGGTAAGCGAAGAATTTAGGTGTGGTATATTATATTTAATTAAGAAAATTGAGAGTAATTTAGCTAAGTGGTGAGCCAATGCAGTAAACATACGCCAAATGAAACTGTAATTGTCTTTGTTTTTATCCTCGTTTGTGAACATTTTACAATTAATATTGGCTCACATTCGTTCTTTATTTATAAATAATAACAACAAATTACAACATAAAATTGTTATGTTATATTCATCACATCGCATATTCACGTGCTGCGATAAAAAATACATTCATTTAGGTCACTTCTCGCAACCGGCTTAAACTAAGGCCAAGGAATATGTTTCCAAACAATGTCTTATAGAAACAAAACCTGATTTGAGTTAATATGGCCGTATGGTTTCTTATTGTAAAAGATTTATTTTTCGATCGTGCATCAAACACATGTCTCTATCAAAAGTAACTTGCAAATGATTGTGTAAATATATGAGCAAACTTTAAAGGGTCACAGGGACATTTCAAGGTTAAGCGTTTCGCACGAAACAATGATCGAATTATATACGTACAATGCAACGAATTATAGTTAATTAATAACTATTTACTTTCAATAAATAAGATTAACACAAATACATAAAATTATTTTAAATTATGGATTTTATTAACATTAATATATAGATTGAATATAAATCTAATGGTGTAGAAATGTGAATAATTGAATTTGTTCTATTTTATCAATATATTTTTTAGAGCCAAATTTATTGTGAAGGTTTGAGAAGAAATAATGGTTGTTAAAATATTGAAAGATATATAACATTTAATCCTGATCATCTTTAAAGAGAAACATGGTAATCCTTTATTTTGAATGTGACTATTTGCGTTCAATATAGTAAATAGTTTGCATCTTGATTTTTTTTTACATAATTTTTTTTTTCTAAATGATACTCTGAATTGTTTCATTTATAATAACGTATACTATATTTCTTATAATAGACTTTCCATAGTCATTATGAACATGACTCATATTTAAACTCTCTCATAAGAGGTGTTTGCCCCCTAAATTATCTTTCTTTAAGATTTTTTAAATACTCAGAATCGTCATAAAAAGAATTTTAAGTGAATAGTAAAAGTGAAACGAAATTCTAAATTGCATAATGATGATTTAGTTTTATAGTAACAAGTGTTTCGGTCGTATAATTTTTAAACAATTTTATTTGTTGTTTTTTAATATTTTTATTAATCAAATATATTTTACTTGAATTGGGGTCGTTGTCCTTACGTAATCTGCAAATAGATTGTGATGCATACATATTTATTTTTACTATCATCTACAAGTTTGCAATTTTCTATAAATTGCTATTAATCAGATCATACGATTAATTTATTGTCAAATTGTACGTGAAATTAATTTTTCATATATTTTATAATTAAAAAAAACAAATAAATAATTCAATGATTTTAAATATATTATTAGTATTAAACTCCTTTTATTTAAATCTTTTTCTAATCAAAATTGTGGTTTCAAGTTTTTGAATCAAAGATCTGGTTAACCACACAATGATTTCATTTTAGACCTATTATTTTTTATTCTTTAGATTATAGCCATATGTTTATATTCCAATATAACAAAATTAGATTCAAGCTACATTCTGGATTTAGCTATTATTAATATATGCTAATAACAGTCAGTTAAGTTACCCAAATGGTCTTTTCTCTTAAGTAGATTGTATAAGACCAGATGTGTTCAACAACTACGTCATGGGTCTTTACATCAAGTTTGCATTACGATATTCTCAGTGGCTCAAATCCAAGAGCAACTTATCTTTGAAACTAGTCTTCTTTTTGATTTCATAGAACTTTATTTAATATATCTATTTTATACGAAAAAAAAAATGTAATATTGCGATGTATTTACCGGGAAAGTTTGTTGAATCGATACAACGAGACATTATAAATGCATGCTCGAACTGCACCGACTGGAACTTTTGGTTGATTGAATTACAGCTTATTCAATATATTTTGCCGATATTTATTGTTGGCTAAATATATTTGTTGCAAGATTGAGATACTTCACTATGTAATATTATTTATTAGATCGTACTTCGCGAGTACTGAGTTGTATCTTTTTCATTGAATACGGGCTGTCATTTTTTTTGCGCGTACATGCACGGCGCGCTATTCAAATTATGCAGAATAATGTTTCCTGGGTTCAGTTGGCTTATTTGCATACGCATTTGTATCATAATTGCTTATAATGGCTTTGATTCTGGACAATCAATTCGTTCATGATTTTATTGCATTTTGTATGAAGGAAGTATATAGAAACACTACGTATAACAATGGAAAATGCATCTGGCTAATAGACTTTGAAAGACTACCTCCGTAACTGCTCAAAAAAGTAGCGTGAGACGACAGTTTCTGTCAATGAGCATTGTATTGGAGTGCTCGCCTCGAGATTATACAAATAACGAAACATATTTGTTTAGACAGAATTATCTTTTTTTTTAATTGATGATGCGAATATATTATGCACGTTCGTTTACAAATTCTTGAATGCATAAAATATCCGTTAAGAAAATATGGCTGCACTTTAATATGTGCACACTTGAAGCTTAGAAGAAATGCGGTAATTTAGAAATCTTTATTATTATATATACAATATGAAATCTTTTTTATATTATTTTTAAGCACTGAATACAGTTGATGTAAAAATTGCAATGGAATATTCATGAACACGTAATACTGCATGCATTTTTAAGGTATTTACAAATTTGTTCCAACAGATCTCTTTTCAATTTTATTATATCTACTATGATTTGAGTTATAAAATTTCAACAAATAAATACAATTAAGAGTTAACTATAAAAAGTAATAAATAATACTTAAGGTTTTATGGAAAAAAATTTAAACAGTTACCATTAAAATTATTAACTACATATACTTGATGAGTACAATATTCTTGACTTACTTATTGCTTACTTTTCAATATACATGACTTAATTTTCTCTTAGCGACAGATTGTAAAAAAAAGTACACATTATAAATATATCTATATACATATTTGCATATGAACTACTCTCCGAGTAATGAGGATCATACATATTTAAGTAGCGTGACGCAATACCACATAAATAATCAAATCACAGTCGTTCGATTTTGCATAAGCATCTTACTGCTTGATTTTTCAACTGAAGCGCTTAATTGTATTGTTGTTAAAATATTCGTTGAAATTTGTTACAGCGTTTTTTGAATATGTTTTATTTGAACTAGTTTTCTATTTATTTTTAATTTAAAAATTGTTGGTTGTTTTCTCTGTATGTGGTTCGTATATTATTTATTGTTGTAACGGATAGAGCACATTTTTCTGTATACTTTTATATAACAAATTATAAGTACGTTCGAACGGAAAAGCACATAGGATTGAGCTTCATTTAATTTAATATCTAACTTGAAATGGAGAAATGTTAATTGTTAAAACATCGCCTTGTCATAGCCATCTGCCCATATTACCATTGTAGATAGGCATAGATGTTTGAAGAAATCTTTACGATTATGATGAAACAACCATGTGATGTAATTTAAAGGTTCTTTCAACAATTCGTGTGATATGTATTTATTTAAAAAAATAATGTATATAGAAATGTATTAATTAAATTAAACCATTAAGATGTTTAATAATAGGTTTATTGAATAATCAAACTATATTAGAAATAGTAGTGCAAATATAAAAAAGAGTAACAATCGTAAAGTTGGCAATGAGAAATCGAATACTCTAAAAATGGAATAATAACAACAAGTAAATTGCATAATTATTTTATCAAACTAAATTTTAAGAAGCAATCAAAATGAAGGAATAAATTAGAATTGAATACGATAGTAAATGTACTTAAATTCGGCCGAATGCCAATGAACGTATGTATCGTTCGTACGTTCATTTAAGTAGTTTATGCTGTGAAATTGGGTATTAAGCAATCCAGTGCTTCTTTGATATTGCTTTGTATTTATTGCTCAAAGCAACAAGATGTTGAGTATTCTAATAATAAAAAAAATTATTCCATATACAACAATATCCGATTTATCATGTTTAAATATAGCTTATTAATCTTAGGTCAGAGCTGACGTTCATCGTAACCAAAATTTCAATTTATTGCTGTTGGATATGTTCAGGTAATTCCCGCCTTTGTTTATTGCAGTGGAACGTCACTTAACGAGCATAATCCGTTCCAGAATTTCCGGATATTTACTCGTGTACTGAAACAATTTTCCCCATATAAAATAATGTAATATAATATGATAATACGCGGCATGGTATTATCATATTATTTTACATTATTTTATATGGAGAAAATTGTTTCACTATACGAGTAAATATCCAGAAATTCTGGAACGGATTATTCTCGTTAAGTGACGTTCCACTGCAGTTCAATAAGTACATTTGAAGCAGGTGGGTAGAAAATAATTAATATAATTTGAATAGTATATGCATAAATGCTTCATGTTTTACTATTAAAATGAATTAATGTACACAGTTCACAGTATAATTTTTGAGTAGTGAAAATAATTGCGTTAAAAGCTATAATATTCTGATAAATGAATCTGAAATCTCATCAAAACCTGGAAGTAACGAGGACTACATAATCCACGATTATATTTCGTATTTATAATTAAGCATGTGTACAAAACAAATAGAAAACATTGCATGAAACCGACGGAAGTGTGTTTGTATTATTTTTGTAATGGGATCAAGCGTTTGATGAATAACTAATCCCGTAGCAATTACTCGGATGTATTGCATTTTAAATGGGATCCTGTGCTCTTTCTCATTCCGTTTTACATGGAAATTGCGAGGTGCCAACGCGATAGGGGAAGTCACCTGAATGCGCAGGATTTCTGTCAATCAAAACATCATCGTCAGACTGTTTTACGCTCTAGTACTTCTCGACACACGATCAACGTTCAATTGAGTCAAAGGCGTAATTTATACTAATTAACTTTGCGTTGACCTCTAAGAAGACCTAGGCTTTACGTTGATCAGTGTTTTGTTGTATTTATTATATTCGGGAAGGTGAATCAGTAATAAATAATATAATTTTGGAATATCGATTAAAATACGTCCTCTATATAAGTGAGTTTATTATTATTATGTTTGTAATTAAATGTATATACTATTGAAAAGATAGCGTCTTCTTCATGTCTTTTTTTGTATTTACTAAGTTCTTAGTTTTATGATGTGATTAGTTTTCAATACACTCAAAAACTGAAATACAGTTTATTAATTTTCTGTGAATCAACGTGATTTTAAATGTAATTTAAAAGTCAACTTTAAATGTTATGTAAATACGCCTAAAATGACTTTTAATCCCATTTGTTGTATGTTATAGCAATATTAAAAAAAGTGAAAGTAATATTAATGTAATTAGGTAGTCAAAAATGCCTAAGTCAAATATTTTGCTTTATTTTTAATGTGATCAATGATAATTTGTAAAATATTTTTTCTCTGTTTATTCTTCTTGTAAAATAGTAGATCACTTTTGATTCCCGTTTACGAACTTGACCCATATCTTACGATAGTTGACAGACGTTGTTAAACTAATAGTTTCGCCGGGCGTAATACCCTTTTTGTCATAAACTTGAATACCTCGTTGTCTCGCCTCTAATCTCTGCGAGAAGCGAGCGCAATTGTCTTCAACAAATTTTAAGTTGTCTGGTGTTTAATAGTCAATGAATCAATATTTATAATACTAGGTGTTTATAGAGAAATTTTGAAAGATGACATTCACTTGTTCTTGCTTTCTACACGCAATAAAATTATCATAAGATGTGGGTTTTAGTTTTCCTTTCTAATATATTAATTTTGTAAAAAAGATAAGTAGACATTTTGATAATCTCTTGGATTTCTAAAAAATGATATTTTAATGTATCCTTATTCTAATCGAAAGATTTTGTATACAACAACTCGTATTGCATTTTTTGTAATCTCCATTGTATGCTGTGCATATATAAGAAAGGAGAAGATATTTCTAATTACTTCTAAATATGTTTATTTTTATGAATTGCAATAAACTCAAAAACATTGCATGCTAAAAAATATTACTGACTTAAGTTATATCAATATGTTCTTATTTTATTTTGAATGTTTTTTATTCTATATGTAAGAAAACAGTAGAAACAGTAATAACCGTTCCACACTCAAGTTATATGTGTACACTTTCTTTGTTTTTCTTTAACTTTTGTTATTTGTTATGATCGGGAAGTGTCCGTTCAAAACGTCACTGCACTTGCATAACTCCAAAGAAAGGCTTCGAATATGATAACGCAACGTGCGTAATCTATTTTCAATTTGTCGTCTCATTTTTATTCCTTTCTATCATTTGATTCGAATATTATGAGCATGATGCACACGGCATATGCTCCTTTCCTCGCGGATTTTCCATGGAAGAGATCTCGATGACGCCGATGGTGCTGAGCATATTCTTCGTCCGAAGCACGTTTCGTAGCAACGGGGATAAATGCACCGTGTTTTTATTTTCCGAAATGTCTCCTGTTTCCAAATAGATTCTTATTTATAGAGCAAAAGTCACAGAACTCATCCAGAACATATGTGCAATGCTCGCACTGCGAGTTGCTAGTGCATTACTTACCATTTAAGCTACCACCAGATTGCAGGTAGATTAATAGATATTATTTCACATAATTATTAAATATGTATCCTTTAATATAAATATTTACAATATATGTTTAACATCCATATAATGTTTTCCTTATTTAGTATTTACATTATCTGATGATGAAAGAAGATGAAAATACAGGGAGTCGAATTTTATGGATTTGCATACACACTTCAACTGTGAATACTTATTTTCCGTATATTTATATATTTGTGTTTCATTTTCTGGCATTATATACCAGGGGTTCTCAAATTGAGCGCACGGGCGCCGTTCTATACTACAGGACCGACGCGAAAATTCTGATATATTAACATAAAGTTTGTCCTGAGATAGATCAATGTTTTGATTTGGGGCGCCGCAGAATAATTCCGATATATTAAGGACACCGCAAACCGAAAAAGTTTGGGGAACACCTGTTATATACTAATATTATACTTTTGGCGTTTGGTTAATTTGCATTCCCTTTGTTACACGTTGCGGAAAAATGCATGGAAAACGGATTAGTTGTTTGTTTTATAGAAAGTAGCTGCAGGGCAGTGGATACTGAACTACTCTTTCTTTCTTTTGGTAGTTTTATTTTACCTTTCTTCCTGTGTTTATATTATCATTATTGTGAATATATTTTATATACGTATTTGTTTGTGGCAAACGGGTTTTCTCGTTGCTCTAAAAATAAAAGCGGATTCGAAGCACACGAAACTTCCTACATTCGAGAATTACATAATTCGAAACAAATTGCAGCAGTTGGATATAGGTAGGTCGTATAGGCATGTACATAAGATTGGATTTATACTAAGCACAGTCGGAAGTCACCATCTCAATTGAGCCTAATTCACTAGGAGTTCTCTCTACGAGTCCTTGGATGGATGATGTCACCATTTGTTTCAGCAATCACACACACAATTAATCAATTACACGAGTAACTGAATCCAATCTTCTCGGCATTTAACAATAAAATGAAAAACTACCTATATAGTCAAATCGAAATTATCACATATTACACAATAATTACTTTCTTATTAGATGTACATTCCTCGAAAAGCAGATTTATTTCATTTAATCACCTTTTTATTTCAGATTTAAGTAAGACCTTCAATCTATGAAATGGCAGTATAATCAAATTTATTTATAATCTGCTATGTATTACTTCAACTTTTTTTATATGAATCAAATTACTATTCGTCAATATGTTATTTTTTATGGCGTCAAATTGTTTATCTGACTGATCCAGGAATTACAAAGATAAATATTGAAATAGGCGTTAATACTTGTAACTTTAATTATATTTTTTTTTAATTTAATTTATTGATTTTACTAAATTTATGTATAATGTAGAAACAGAAATATGAAATATTTATTTTAATTTGATTTAAATCACCTATTTTATCATAGTTCAATTTTTTATGCAGAATATTTAAGATACTATTAATACATAACTGTAATTGTAAGTGAGACAACAGTTGACCGATAAATCTGGCATAGATATTTCAAATGTTTAATGTAAAATTGTTTTGCAATTTTAATTATTCGATTGGATGGAGATATTGTAAGTTATTCGTGACTAATAAAGCAATACTTTTATGGCTGTTCTGCCCACATTTTGCCAGGTAGTCAGTCGCTATATGTGTGTGTCCCACTGAGCAATGCGAGAGCAACCATTTTTCTTTTCCTTCTTGCGCTTTTAACATTTAACATTGGGAAACAATTGCACCAGGTGCCCGATCAGTTTACTCCCATTTTTTCGGTGTTCCGGGAGTCCATGATTCCCACAACTCGGCGACATCCGCGTTTCGACAAGAGTGAGATATTTAGTGCCGTTTGTTAAACTAAATAATAATTAGGTGAGAAATGTAAATTTTTATTTTTTTTTTAAATTTATTGATATAAATCTCTCCGGCCCTATTTCTACCTCTTTCGGGTTTAACAGCCACCACAATTTTTTGTTGATTTTTCGGAATTGAACCAACGACCTTTCGTATCAGATTTTCGTGATACAGACGACCTTAGCCACACGGCTACGGCCGCCCTAAATGTAGATTTTTAAAATTCAAAACAATACAATTTTTATTACTTTATTAACATTATAAATATGATATTTGTTTGATTTATGTAAAATTTGTATTGGAACTTTGAAAATGATATGCTATGATACTTTTTCCTAGGTTAACCTACTTATTATATTTAAAAGGTCTATGCATTAAACTTGAATTAACTTTTTGAAGTAGTTGTTAATAATTAAAGAATGGATTACGCCATATGTAATTTAAGGGAGCCGCGCCTCTGGTAAATAACATATGCAATAAATAGCAATAATAATTATTCATAGTTGATCGATTCTCAAATTGGTTTTAATGTTCATTTTGCTATTGTTGTAGGTGTCCAGCAATGGAATCGAGATTATGACTTATCTGGTTGATAGGCTAGGCTACGACTTCCGACCGTACCTTCAAACCGTGCTACCCTGCGTGATAGATAGATTGGGAGACGCGCGCGATACCGTGCGAGAGAAAGCCCAGCTGCTGATTCTGAAGCTTCTGGAACGAGAGGTCATCACGCCGCAAGCACTTCTCGAAAAGCTGACCCCTGGATTTACGCACAAGAACGCCAAGATTCGGGAGGAGGTCCTTAGATGTCTTGTGAATACTATCAATGAGTAAGAGTATACCGTTTATTTATCTATAACGACCCGGGCTTTGTTAGGAGACCGTCTAACATTTAACACTGACTTTGGCATTTTGACAACTTGACTTAAGTTCATTTATTAAAAATAGAAGCAAACTTATTTTTAAGTTGTGCATCCTCGTTGCAAGTCTCCCCCCGTAGTAGTCAGTTGCACCAAGAAGTGTAGTATTCGATTGAATTTCAAGTGCGATAATTCTCATTATTTCAGACATGGTGCACAGTCCGTAACTTTGAGCAAGTTTATACCGCATATAGTTAAATTGATTTCGGATCCTACGTCGACCGTAAGGGACACCGCTTTTATTACCATCGTCGATCTTTATAAGCACGTAGGAGATAAGCTGAAGATTGACATTCAGAAGAGGAACTTAGTGCCGGCTGCACGATTGCCGGCGTTGCTAGCGCGCTTCGACGAAGTCAAAGCTTCCGGAGAACTTCTTCCAACGAGCAAATCAATTGACAGTGAGTCTCAGAACATAATTAGCCGAAAAATGAAGCTTACTCTATTCTATTTTCAGTTGGGACAGATGATGTAGACAAATTGGTCATGCCAAAGCCTATAGTTCCTGTACGAAAAACCGCATTGGGGTCTGCGATGAAGCGTAGTACTTCAAATTCGCGAAGCGTTGCCTCCAATCCTGGAAGCAACTCCGGTAATAAATCGCATAACATTTTTTTTTGTTATTAACATATTTTGCTCTAACTTTACGCTTTTTTTTATATTTTCGCTTATTTTAATTTTTGATATTAATTTTATTTTCGGCATGACATATAGTTCCAGTTAGCAGATCCGTTTCAATCCGCAAGAATTGCGTCTGTAAGTTATGTTTTAATACTTCTGCTTCTATCCCTTCTTCTTTATACACATTTTTTGTCAATTTTCTAAATAATTTCTGTTTGCTTATTATGTGTATTAATTATATTATGTTGTTGTAGCTGGTGCTGTTGATGAAGAACTATTCATTAAATATTTCGACGAAGTGCCTCAGTTGCAGCTGTTTTCCCATAGGGAAGTCAATGATCACATGAAATCCATTCAAGATATCATCTCCGATACAAATAAGGATTGGAATAAACGCACTGATGCAGTAAGAAGCAGTGGTATCTTGCATTACAGTCATTTAACTTGTTTTTCTCTCTTTTTCAGTTAAAGAAATTACGTTCGCTTGTTATAGCCGGTGCAACAAATTACGATGATTTCCATACGAATCTCAGGAGTATGGAGTATGCGCTACAGGCGACCATTAAAGATCTGCGTTCGCAGGTCGTCAGAGAGGCTTGCATCTCGATCGCCTTTTTAGCCCAGAGCTTGGGGAACAGATTCGACCACGCTGCCGAATGTCTTCTGAACAATCTAATTAATCTGATCCAAAATTCGGCCAAAGTATTTAAACCATTCATAACTCGAAGAATTCCATTTTCATTTACATATTTGTTTTATTCAGATCATTTCCACGTCCGGTGTAACTTGCCTGAGATTCATAATCCAGTACACACAAGGTCCGAGACTGATTCCTATTATCACGTCTAATCAGCAGAACTCCAAGAGCAAGGATATTCGTCGCAGCTGCTGCGAGTTTCTCGATTACATATTGAGCAATTGGCAGACCAATCCTTTGGAAAAGCACATCGCCATTTTGCAGGAATCCGTGAAGAAAGGTATTGCCGATGCGGACCCGGAAGCTCGCGTTATCTCCAGAAAGTAAGTAATCTCTTCTCATAAGTTTCAATTAGATTTTATAGTTTTATTTGTATTGTAGAGCATTTAGAGGTTTTCGAGATCACTTCCCGGAACAGGCAGAGGTGCTTCTTCAATCCCTTGAGCCCACGTACAGGAAAGCACTCCAAGGGGAACTGTGTTTATCCAGTAGCTCATCTAGTGGAAGTTTGGCGCAAACCGGAAACTTGAGAACGCCCAGGCAGTACCGAGCACCGATGTCGACGCAAAGTTCTACAGGTAATCTTTGATTTATCTGCACCTTGTACAATCGATATTAATAAACGCAAAGTCCTTTTATTTACAAAAAAAAAAGAAGTAATTTTCTGTGTGATTTTTAAAGATTGCACGTTTGATGCGAGTTCTTTATGTAACGTGTATTTCGTAGAAACCGGTTAAACAAGTTTTTTTTTCTCTATATGTATATGGAGAAAAAAAATAGTAGAAAACTATAAACCTATTATAGAATACTGTAATAATATGCTATCGTTATACAATTCCTTATTTAGACACGGACGGTAATTTACATGAAAAACAATGCAAATACGATTTAGATATGTTATGTCTCGCAATTTCTTTAACTTTGTTCTTTGTGTATATAATCATTGTCTTTTTCTGTTCGTTGATTCGTCCATAATCTAACACAAATCGAGATTGCTTGTTATTTTTGTTCCTTCATTGCTGCTTTCGGATGCTCTATTTAGGCAGCACAGAGAATCTCAGTGGCGGCCTTCAAAGGGCCCCTTCTCTGCCGAGGAGCTACAGCAGACAGCGGAGCGGAATTCCCGTGCTTTCTAGTATGTAGCTTCAAGTGCTTCAACAACACCAATCATATTGTAATCCTCACCGACTTTCCATAATTTAAGCGACACAAAAAAACTAATTTTCTATTCAGATGTATCTTCTTTGTCCTTCAACAAACTAATGGGAATTGAAATTATTGTAGATAGCGGCAAGAAGGGATTCAGAAGCAACTCGGCGATCGATCTTCAAGCAGCGCAGAGGGCCAAGACAAGGGCACAGTATTCGGCAATGGCCCGGCAGAAAATCAGTTCAGGAACGGCGAGTTTACGTGAGTCCAAATGAATTTAATTAAGAATATATGCACTGCTTGATTAAAGTTAATTGCACTAATTTTGGAACGAGTTTTGTAGTTTAGCAGTTCGTAGATTAACCCAGCAAAACGTATTGAATAATCTAAATTAACTCCAATTATTTTCCATTTCATGTCTTTAGCTGGTGGAGAGAATGCACAGCAAGGTATTATGACTAAACTGCCTTTCTTTTAACATAATGCATACATTTGGATGTCAATTTGAATCCTATATCTATACTTGTAATTTTAAAATTTATAGCGCGCCCGCGGAAGACGCACGACGTTGTTTCAATGCAATCGCCTGAGAGAACAGGCCGTACGAGGAGCAGGAATCAAGGCGTTTCGCATTCGCAACGTGAGTCAAAATTGCATTTCCAATTACACAGTTTGGTAATACTAATGTTTATCTGTGTAGCAACGAGTCGGTCTGGATCTCCTAGTTCTCGACTACCTTACCTATATGGAAGGACTCATAACATGGACAGCACAGATAACAGTCCAAGGCCGAGGAGGATTTCATCTGGTATACCGAGATCCACTGCCGGATCCAGAGACACTTCAAGGGAGGCCAGTCCTACAAGAGTTTCCACTTTGAGTAGATTCAGGAGAAGCAGCAGTGACAGACCGCCTATGAGTCCGTCTTCTAGACCGGTGATGGCCCAGAAGATTCTTCAACAAAGTCGCGAAGCTGAAAGCGCACTTGCGGATGCTTTGGTAAGTAACCTGCTTGTACATTTATCTCAACAGCTTTTATTAATCTTAAACTTTCAGAGCTTCGATCAGGGCGATTCAATTGACTATCACAATCGAAATTTGCGATCTTCGACTTTACGCTCATTGGACAATCATTCTGACGATTCTGAGACTTCCAGCGTGTGCTCCGAGAGATCGTTTGATTCATACAGAAGGCCGAGCGATGTAAGTATACTCTATCAATTATCTTGCATTAATACAGTCAGTACCTACAGTAGTTTTAAAATATTCGCATGTGCAATTAAAGTACGCATTTCATTACTTCTGCTTGCTTCTTATCCATTTAAATTGTAATTACCTTTTTTGCTTTCTGTAAATTACACTTTTTTTATTAAAACTTACAATATACAGTTAAAATACTGGATACTATATTTTTATTAGAAAAATGCAAAAGAAAATATTTACCTTAAACTATCTAATAACTATTCTATTGTTGTATACCAAGTATACTTTTTCTCTATAAATCTGTAGTCTACATTTTTTGAATAGAACTAATGGTTATAGTGATTTATACTTAGATATTAATAATAATATTCTTATATTGAAAGTAGGAAGTATCCAAAAGAACAAATAATGAATATGATACATATTTTATGATTTAACTCTTTGAGGGGCCAAAAATTCCTAAATTTCTAGAATCAACAAATTTCTAGACAACTTAATCAGACAGCTACGTCAACAGAATCAACATCAACCTACCAAACAGAGGATAATTCCTCTTTCCTTGACATTTCTTAGAAAATTATTTAGAAAAAGACGGAACATTGCGAATCCGAACGACCATCAAAGAGTTAAAAATGATTAGTGCTTTTTTAATTCTTTCTTTTTTTATATAAATTACTGATTATGATAACTTCGACATTAACTAGTAATATTAAAAAAAAAAGTTTAATTTAGTTACAATTTTAAGTGAATAAATTTGTTATTTTGCTTGTTTGTTTGAGAAAATATACTCAAATTAACTGCATTTTTATTAATAATAAGTATTGCAACATTTAATTAATTAGAGCGTATATAGATCTATTACTTTGTTTAGTTTTTAATTGGTGTGGCTTGTGCTAATTGTTAAATGTTACTCTCTGTACCAGTCATACTCTTGGAGTGGTTCACAGCAGCGATTAAGTAGCAGGGAACTGTGGGAACCCTGCCATGTAAGTATAGCTTATACAGCTTACAAATTTTATAACTCAAAATTGAATGTGAATTACAGAAAAAAATGCATTTCAAGTACAAATTCAACAAACAATTACTCTTGTTAGTGTTAAATGATTTTTTTTAGTTATTTGTTTAGTTTATCCTGTAGTTTGACTTTGATATTGTATGCATTACTTTCAAAAAGTAATATTTTTAGAAAGGATGATGCTGATAATTATTGTTTGTATTATGCAGGATATTAATGAAATAATTGTATACTGTGCGAGCACAATATGGCAGGAAAGGAAGGATGGTCTGGTATCCTTGAGAATTTACCTAAGCAATGGTAACCTGTTGAGTCCAGGTGAACTGAAGCACATAACCGAAATCTTCACCAAAATGTTCATGGATTCGCATACGAAAGGCCTGAGCGTCTTCCTCGATACGATAAACGAACTGATTAGAAAACATAAGCAAGAATTACATGATTGGCTGTATGTATTACTGCAGAGAATATTCTACAAGATGGGTACTGATCTTCTGATGTCCGCCCAGACGAAGTTAAATAACACTCTGGACAATGTCAAAAAGAGTTTTCCGATACAGCTGCAACTCAATTATGTGTACAAGTTCTTGGTAGATGTAGCACAGACGCCCAACACCAAAGTTAAAGTGGCCGTATTGAATTTCTTGACATCCCTATGTCATGTCACCGAGCCAGGGCAGTCGATCAACATGCCTCCGGCGAATCAAGCCCTTTTAAAAATTATCAATTACGCCCAGGACATAAAGTCTATCGATATTAGGAACGCAGCTAAGGTAACTGATGTTACTGTCAAAAATCCGTGACAATTTATCAACTGACGAATTCACTTACAGAATTGCATCGTGGCTTTGTGGAATTGCAACACGCCGCAAGTTACAATGATGCTGGCTGACTTCCCCAAAGAACAACAAGATGTAGCCTCAAGCATCGTTCACAGTCACATGCGAAAAAATTCTTCAGGAAGCGATATCGGCAGTCCGGGTATAAAAGCCCTATCGCCGAGTACCGCGACCGCAAAACACAACGACACTATGAACCACGAGGATATCTACAAGAGCCTGCAGAGAACCACGGCTGAAATCCAAAATTATAGTTATGAAACGTTAGGTAAGTCCATTCTCATTTTTTTTATTTAAATATTAAGATCGTTCCGCGCGTCGCGATTTATACCCATTAAAAAAAATAATTGTAATTCATTTGATTGGCTGTGCTTGGATTAAATTAGAGGAAGTGTTGACGTTGTTAAATTTGAAGTTCAATAAAAGTATTTCAAATCGTCTACAGGTTCAAAATTGGACCGTGATAGAGATACAACATCACAAGACTCAGGTATATCTCAAATGTCTATAGGTAATGACATAAAGACTGAAATACTGGCCATCGAGGAAAAGATGGATGAGATTCACATCGGTGCCTCGTACACCGCTAGACTTACCAGCGGTACTCATTCGTCCATCAACGGAGTCAACGACAACAATTCAAATGGTTACGATCAAATGGGTAAGTAGCCATCATCCATCATATTCCGTATATTTAACACTTGCTTTACATGCTTGCTTTCAGAAAATTTAAAAGAAGATGAACTGGTCACGAACATATTAGAATATTGCTTAATTGATAATCCTTTAGCAAATAAGACTAAGCGTAAACTACTCGAAAAGTTGATAATCGTTATTAAACAAGGAAACGTGGAATCGATTATACTTAACTTCAAGTAAGTAGATGGATATTTTTTTAAAGTGAATATTTTTATGATACACAATTTTTAGGAAATTATTGCGGATACTCATCGATACTTTGAGTCAGAAAGATGTGAAGTCGCAAGTTATAGTGCTTCAGATTTTAACAGAAATATTTAAGAATCCCAAATTGGAGCCGTGCTGGCAGAAGTTTATCGAACTGTTGACACTGAGAGTCCTAGAGGCTTACCTGGATGAAAGTAGAGAGGTAAATTGATAGAAAATGGAAAAGTCTTACGTTCTCTCATGATTAATTTTGTGCAGGTGGTGAAGACAGCGGACGCAACTGCAGCAGCGATGAGTGTATTTCCGTTCGACACCCTCGTGAATACGTTATCGCCGCTGATACAAACTAGCACTTATCCTAAAATTGACGGTTCGATAAAAATGCTGACCAAAATGATCGATGTGCACCAGGCAGACATTACGGACGAACATTTGACCATAATTATGCCAGGATTAGTTAAGGTATTGTATTTGCAATTTATTAATGCAAAGAGATAGTTGCTTAACTTATATTTTTGTTTATAGGCGAACGAGAATGAAGAGAGTTCCGTGCGGAAGAGCGCCGTATTTTGCATGGTGGCGCTTCACAGAGCCGTGGGCGAGGAGCGTCTAGCGCAGCACATAGTTTCCTTAACGGGATCGAAGTTGAAGCTGCTAAGATTATATATCGAGAAGGAGGAAAATAAGTTAGTATCGAAAAATACTCGCAATTTGAACGCCAGCTAGTGCCGTCGGCGTCCGGTAAATGTTATTAAAACATGTTTGATTATGTTTATTTATAACGCTGCTCAGATAATTATTTTTAATTACAATATTGTTCATCGGTTTTATTAATTGCATTTCTTCACTGCCAGAATAGTAAGGGGGGAAGGGGAAGTTTTGACTTTGCGGTAGATGATTTGAGAACGAGGAGTTTATATGGTCAATATATTGCAAAGATGCTCGTTATCTGATTAATAAATTATGATTATTTAGGTGGGTGGTGTGTTTTGGTGGAAAACTGAAGTTTACTCTAATTGTTTTGTTAAATGTAAATTTATGCTTTCTAAATTGAAAACAAACAAAACAACAACAAATGCTGATCATCGATTCGTCAGTGTACGTTGTTATATATATATATAAATATTATTTTTGCAATTAAATTGTTATTTTTTTTGTTCAATTGCGATGCACGTCGAGTGCTTTGAGAAAACAAATGAAATGCTTTAAATGTAAATCTTTACGGCAATTTGTTTGTCTTGTAATATACAGTTATTAGGGGTTTTTATTTTTATCGCGATGCGATATATACTTGTTCGACGTGAAATAAGTATATAAACGTACTTGATTCTCTGGATGGTCTAATCGACATTTGTGAAACTGAAAAAAAAATCTTTGCACATACGTAATTTCTTCGTTTTCTCGTTCGTCGATGATAATTCATGTAATTGGCAATTAGAATAATGTTTTTATGAGATTGTTGCTAATAAAATTAGCAAAAAAAGTGTTGTATAAACTATATAAGGCAGTTATAAAAAAACGCAAAGAAATTGGAAATGCATTTCATATATTTATTGAGCAGTGTTTGAAACATTACATTTTTTTATATAATTATAAACTCCTTATTTCGCATATCTTTTAACTAACACACCTAACTTATTAATATTTATTTTTGTTTTATTCAGAAGAAATCTGTCGCGAACCTAATAACTACTCCTACTTTGTATATACCGAAAACGTCTATTTTTGCTCTCTCTTTATTCCCTTATAAAAGAATATTTTATGCTTTCAAAACGTTATTTTATTTTTGTTAGTAATAATAAAGTGCCATTTTTTTATTTTTTTTTTATTAATTATTTAATTTAGCTTTCTCTGAAAAGTATATTTGTAAATATTTGTTTTAAGAATCGCACAATAACCAATGGAAGTATTTTTGTTTGTTTGTTTAATTTTAACAACTAGTCATATAAAATTTCATTTGCAGAGTTTTTATCCGCTATTTTCGACTTGCATGAATGAGGAAGGAAAAATATTGTATTGTGCGATTAGTTTCTGCGACGATTGAAATCTATTAAATTTGCCGTTTTCTCTATTAATTTCTTGTTATGTAGCACTTCTGATGTATTGCAATTTTAATGGCCGAACGAGCTTTTAAGTTGAGGTAGCTGTAAATATATGTTTTCATGATTTAAAAGAAATAATAACAGGGAAAATTATTGTGCATTCAGTCTTAATTTCGCATCTGAAGAGTAATCGTTTCTTTTTGTAATCTCTAAGTGAATTATATATATATGCGTGGGAAAAGTATGCCAAATAATGTGTATTTTTATATGTTGTGCTATATGTTGGTATCCTTTTTGACATGTTTCTGTTTGATAACACTATATTGTTTGTTTTTTTAATAGATCTGTATATATGGTAGCATTTTTTTAAATTGCTGAATTATGAGAATTTAAACACCTTAAAAACTACGTTTTCTCTTTTTGCTTAGCAATTTGTTATATTTATGTGCTACTCATACGTTTATATATACAAATATATATCTAACCATAATTTCTTTATGTAATTATAATATATTGTAATAAAAATAAATGCATACAAAAGTAACACGTTTTAGAAGTTAATAAATAATTGTTAAAAGTTTTTTGAAAATATTTTCATTTGAAATACCACCATCTATTTTCTGTTATATGAACTATTTTTGATACCTGTGGCCGGTGACCAAAGACATGTTTGTGTGGCGTGCCCTCGCAACTTTGGAAATCGAGTGGCGCCTCCTACAGTGCTGCTGATGGAACCTTACACCAAAATAAAGCTACATATCTGATGGGTCTATATCGCAAGCCCGACAACCGAAAGACCGTCTATTGAAATCCCGACGATCCCGACTCGAATGTTATTGTAGAATTTTATAATAATGAAAGACACTGTCGGGATTTTGATATAGTCGGGATTTTGACATAGTCGGGATTTTGAGCCAGCCGGGATTTCGATAGACGAGATTTCGGTTGTCGGGCTTGCGATTTCCACCACTGAGGATATGTAGCTTTGTGATGTATTTTTGCTTATTATTTATGATTTAACCAATACTTACGATACAATACCTACATTTAATAAATTAATAACTGTACCTTATATAAATATAGTGATATAGAATGAAAGGATTAATTATTCAACATTTGTTAATGCCTGAAATGTAAATTGAAGACATTAAAATGTGATATAATGGAAATAGTGAAGAAATACAATATTGCATAGACTCTACACTGTAGAGTAGTAGATTTAATAAATATTGTTAATATTATTGGTATAAATGTATAAACATATGTTTGGGAATTACATCTGATTCTGTTCTTTATACCAATTTTTCTTGTTTAAAAATTAGTTTCATAACAATCTACAGACTAAACTGAAGCATTGTCTTATGCAGTCTTATGAATTAAACTTATTTCAGAACTATATTTTTTTTGCATTGTTTAGAAATTATTCAAATGAAATAATTATAATTTTTCTGAACATTATTGTTGGTTTTATAAAGATTTATATGTTAATAATAGTAAAATTGTTTGGAATTTCATAACAATTTTTTAAATTATTTGGTGCTTGGCGCCTCCTAAAGTGCTACCGGTGTACTAAGAATTCGATGACTGCGCCACATTAGTGGGCCATACAATAAATCTTTCATGACTTGTGAATTCATTCCTGTTGCATTAAACATAACCTTATTTTATTTGAAATATTCAAACGTTTAAGTGTAAATAAATAGTTTTTAATTTGTTTTATATTTAATAATAAGCATGGAAGATACACCAGGAATTAGTATGTTCCAAACAGGCAGCATCAATTTACAAAATGTGTTACAAAATCAGGAGGACGAGGATTTGGAAGAGCAAATGAGAATTCAGGAAGAGGTAATTCTACAAAAAAAAAGATAATTGAATATTTTATTTAAATAAGAACAGGTGAAAAATGCTTTAGAAAATGGCTTAGGTGAATTTAACTATGATGATGAGAGTACAGTAAATTCCTCTACAAACATCTCAACACATGATTGCAACTTTGAGCAAAAATATAGAGATGTGGATATGGAGAATCAGCTTAAGGTATTATACGAAGTTAGGGTTGAAGAAATTAAAAATCTCACAATCCAATTGGATGCACTTAAAATGGAAACTAATGGAGAAAAGGAAGCTTTATTGAAAAAATTCATGTTGGCTGAGGCTGAAAAGGAAAGTGCTCAATTATCACTAAAACAAGCACAGGAACTATTAAGTAAATTATATTATTAATTTCATCTTCATATATTTAAACTTCCTGTTTTTAGTTTCCAAGACTGAGCACATCTCCAGATTAAGTAGTACTCTTGAAACACAGCAGAAATCAATTAATCAACTTGAATTTAGTTTAGAGACTATTAAAAGTGAGCGGGATTCTCTGAAGCACACCAACATTGATCTGACTGATCAACTGACTATAATGCACAAGGGGACTAGCACTAAGACTGTATCAGATAGACAATTGCAAGAGCAGCATCATGTTGAAATTACAAAGATACATCATAATTTAGATGTTGCAATACATAAGGTTGAAAGGCTGGAACAGGAAAAGGCTGAATTGCAAGGGTTGCTTGAAAGTAAAATACACCAGAAAGATGAGCTGATGGTGGAAAAAAGTGATATTATAAACAAGCTGTATCTTGATTTGGAAGAATCTCAGGCTCAGAATAGAAAATTTTTGCAGTTATCTAATGCTTTAGCTCTAGAAAACAAAAATTTGAAGGAAACTGCTTGTGGTAAGATATTTGTCTATTATAATTGATATATTTTTTTGAAAAAATTATTTGCGTATTTCTTTAAGATATTGATGTAATGAATAAGGTTCAGATGGGGTTGAGCGATAAAACGGAAATGATCAAAGTTCTCCAAAAGGAATTAGATAAAGCAAATGATATAAACTCCAAACAATTGGTCGAATTTGAAAGTTTGCAACATAATTATTCCGAAATTCACAGGAAATGTACAGCCATAGAAAACGAATTTGAACACGAAAAGGTTTTTATTACATAAATAATATGTAACATATATTGCAATTGGCTATTTGTTTTAGAATGAAAAAAGCAAAGTTATCTCAAAGAATGAAATTTTGGAGAACAATTTGAAAATTCAATTTGAGGATATCAAGAAACTCAATGAGAAAATATTACATTACGGGTAAAATATTCGTAAAATCTACAAGTTTTCCTTAATATATTTGGTTTTTCTTTTTAGAAATTTGGAAATGCAGAATGAAATTTTATTAAAACGTATAGATTCACTTCAGGTACTTTTGATGGAAAACGAAAAGTTATCTTCAAAAGAACGTTCTATGCAAGTCTCTCAGTTAATGAATAGTTTTTGTGAACAGACTGACTTATATAAAGGTAGGTTGTATTTTTTATCGTCGTGCCAATGAATACTTTAATGCTTATTTTAAGATGAAAATATTAAATTGCATGAACAATTGAAATTAGCCAATGATGAATTGAGGTATTTAAATGAAAAGGTAAATGAATATGAGGATACTGTTAGACATTTGCAAGAAAGGTCTTTTTTGGTGAAAGAAAAAGAGAAAATCATCGAGAACCTCAAAGAAACGGCGTCCAAATTCGAGAAAGTTATTATGGAACAGAAGCATCGACCGAAATGTGTCTCGATTTCAACAAATACTGAAAATGTTGCAGAATTTGGTGAATGTAATATAGTTTTAAGCTTTCCTCGTATTTTTTCGAGTTAATGGAATCTTTATAGGTAATGAGGAAATGTTACAAGCTCAATATGAGACTGAACTGATTCAAAAGGAAATTCTAATTAGGCAAGAGCTGCAGAAAGAATTCCACGCGAAATTAGAGAAGTTCTATAAAGAGAAATGCTGCAATTGCTTGAATCTTGAAACGCAACTGCTCCATATAGATTCTATGCTAAAGGAAAAAATACAAGAGATTGAGATTACCAAGAATGGAACGGTAGAGCGAAAAGATGAAATTGCGTGCTTGGAATGCGTGAATTTAAGAAATCGTTTGAAGCGTACAGAGGAGGTTTTGGAAAAACTTAATTTACAGTTGAAAGCCTCAAAGGATGACAGAAAGGAGGAAATGGACTTCATAGCTAGGATGCTTGATGAATGGCAGGCTAACTTCAGGATCCTAGAAGAAAAAAATATTGATTTGGTTAGCAAGTTGCAAATTAGTAATAATGTTTGCCAAGGACTTGAAAATAAACTTAGGGAAGTCGATAATCAGTTAATTATATCATTGCAAAAAGAGACTGAGGTACAGTTCAAATAATTTAATGAAGTGAAGAACCTAAATTAATATTAATTTTAGAATTTATTGGTGCAGACGAATCGCAAAACTATGTTAAATTTAACTATGAAACATAAAAATAAAATCACCCAGCTGAGGAAAAAGGTTGACGATATTTCTAAACGACGCGACGAAGAGGTGATTATTTTAACATATTCATGCACAAATTATATTAATTATTTTCAGGTCAAAAATATAGAGTCACTTTACAATTTAAATCAACAATCAATGCAGAAGATGTTAAGAAGTTAACTGTTTATTAAAAAATAATTGAAGAGAAAATAAATTTAAAGTTTATATATTATTAATAAATTAATTAATCATATGTGCCAAATTCCAGTTCTGTTGAATTTCAAGAGGTCCTTGAATATCAGTTCCATCCTTGTTTATAACAGCCACTTGGTATTTGGGGAAACTCCTTGCATCTCTGTAGAAGAGCACTTCCATGCATTTGTGGATCAAAGCCCTTGCTTCCTCCTCAGTTGGAGATGGATTTGCTTCCAGAGCAGACCTCAAGATTGGCAATGCCATGTAAGCACCATAACCAGTGCAAATTGCGTTATCCTCAAAAGCAGTACCCAATTTATCAACGCTACCCAAAAATGGAACACCATCCTGAAAATTGCATTTTGCAGAAAGGTTATTTACAAACAGCAAATTCACTTTACCTGTAAACCACCAACAACAAAGGTGTTCCAAAATGGATCAAATTTACTGCGACGATTGTACATGACCCTAGTCAACCAACAATACATAGACTTTGGTTTGATTTTGAAGCCATCATCCAAGCATTCCTCATCAACACTAAAACATCAATAAATATTATAGTATTGAACTTATTCCAATTAGAATATTTACATTTTCTGTTCAATTACGTCTTTGACATATTGGTAGTCTCCATAATCGCCACCAGCCCCAAGAATGATATTATCGTTAACTTTCAAGACTCTGGGACAATTCCTGAACCTAGCCAAGGATCCGTAAGAACCAAGAATGTCTCCGGCAATAATCACGCCACCGTTGAACTTCATAGCTACAATAGATGTAGCTGTGGTGATCGGAGTCCTGAAATTAATTTTGTTATTTTGCAAAATCACTTAGATTTTAGGTTATACTTACTGGGAACGTTGCGAACCGTTCGTTCCGTGAGTTTTTGTTCCCGGAAAGTTGTAGATAGCACCTGGAGCCGGTCCATTATGCCAGAAAGGCTTAGCGGTGAATTGATCCACTCCGTTATACATTTTATTGACTATTTGACGATCTTAAATTATGACTACAAAAAAGCTCTGAAAACACTGCTGACAATGACTGACAATGACTTTATATTTCTCAATAATGAAGTGAGTTGAAATCACAAAGCTACTGCCAATATGAGAAAAACAAATTAATATCTAAAACGAATATTGGTTTGAATTTGTAAATCGGCAATAACAGGTAGTAATTTGATCACACTTTACGTTAAGAACGCTTATTTTACGTCAGTGGTAATAAGTGGTAACCAGGAAGTGAATTGACAAAGATAAAATATCGATTATTGGTGAAAGAGAAGGACATCAATCCAATCAATCGTACTTCATAGCATTTACCGGTGCGGTGGAAGGAATATTTTTAAGTGCAAGGCGTGCAAGGTGACTACTCTACATTATTTTTTTATAAATAAGATGCATAGTGTAGTAATTGTGTTGCCCCTGCTTCGCCTTGAATAGAGCCGAAAGTTTAGCAGTTTGGGTCATAATAAAATCAATACATGACCTGCTCAATGTTGTAATCACCTGCAGCAAAATCCCCTGCAGTGCAGTGCTTTAGTCTTTTTTGTAAATAATATTAAGTTGCAAGATTCAAGTTGAGCTTTGTATGCTGCACCATTTAAAATTATCCAAAGTCTGAAGATTCCCTCATTAGTATTGTCAATAATATTTACTCAAACTGTGTGCTTTTAAATGATAAAATCAACTGAACTTATGTAATAAGTAATTAACTATTTTCTAATGAATGTGTAGTGAGCTGTGGAAGTTTTTGTTTATATAGTAGCATTTTGGCCTTAGTTTCTTTCCATTTTTCACCTGGAATATCTTTTTAAAGTGTGTATCAATTATTACAATTTTTATGCAATTCAGCATTTATTTTTAACACTTGTCAAATTGTGACCTTTTAACCAAAACTGAAAATGTTTCTTAGGTTTAATTTTGAGACATTCGGAATGGTTACTGATCATGTCATATACAGAATTGGAACATGGATATCAAGGTTTACGTAAGGCCACTAGACCTACACAATTTTATATAGGAGGGGTGAGTTGATGTTTGTTTTGTTTTTCACTTGGACACCTACTTTTTTAATTTCATTTGTGTTTTTTCATTTCTGTTTCTCTTATTGATATTCAGCTTTTTGAATATTAAAGAAATGCCTGAAAACCATTGTGGGAAAATTCCTAGGATTACGGTTGAGGATTTTGACAACCCTAGCAATAGCACAACCTATTGGTCTGTGCACACGGTACCAATTGAAATCCATATAATAAATTTATATATACATAAAGATTTGTTACATGCATGGTGAAATATTAATCTTGGCATGAATTATTAATAATTTGCTAATAAGTGATTGAGCCAAAATATTAAAATGAACTGGGCTAAAAATACATTGTAATTACATCAAATGTGTGTCATATCAAGTGTGCAGCTTGTAAACACACCTTTTTGAAAATCACATTAAAAACCTATTTATCTAAATTGCTTAGTTTATCTGTTGCGCCTCAAATGCAGGCCATAATCAGTTGGTGCACAAAGGACTGTGGTTGACTATGATAGAACAACATACTAAAAAGTGACAAGTTTTACTTCAACCTTTGTTTTTTTATTATACTTTATTTATTTGAATATGTGATTATTTTTTATATTGTTCTTGTTGGTTTGTGCTCGCTGGAAGTTATACCATGGAATGGACTTGGTTGAAAGATTGGTGGAGACTTAAAAAGTGGAGGAAAAATAAGTTACGGAACGGGGGGTGCGAAGAAGTGTGCTATTGTGATGAGTGTTTAAAGCCAGTATGTAAACAATTTTCAAGATATTTTTCAAAATCGCTTTGTACATAAAGAGAGAAGGCCTATACTTATATTATCTTATCTCGAATGAAGCAATTTAGATACGTTCGTTTCCTCGTCCTCCTCCTACTTGTTGACACATGAAAATGTACAATGCTTGTTTGATTGTTTTTTATTTTAGGAGTACGAAAGAGTGTCAATATTTGCATATAATTTGAATACGTTGACCCACTTTGGGCATTTAAACGACTACGGTTTTATCACATCAGATAAAAAGATGTTGGCATTATATTATAAGAGCAAGACGTTCGGCGTGACTTAAGAAATATTTGATAGGATAATTAAATAATTAGTGAATGAGATCCATCAAATCGATACTGATGACCTTTTTCGTCGTCCAGATTAAAAAAACATCATCCGTGATTGTGTGTAGATGACTCGTGTGCGTGTGTTTGTGTTTATTAATCTATTTTTACGTAGTCGGAATTCTGTAGTTGAATATATATATATATAGATTTTCTGTGGTTATATTTAGTCTTGTTTTGCTCATATATCCTTTTTTAACAATTTTTTTCCTCGTTATTGTTCTCTTCTTGTATTCAGTAGAACCGCGAGTTTCCCTTTTGACTGACCATGTATTACTGTTCATCACCACCAGATCTGGATAGTTTTAACTACTGGGTAACATCACAATATTAATGCAATAATATATACACTAACTGTAATTGATAATAACGCCATTTACATTATAAATATTCTTGTTGCATTCACAAAACATGTACATTAAATTGCATTTTAGTACAATAATTTAAACCAATTTTTGTTACGAATGCATGATCCGAAATATAAATAGTTACTAATTTAATTGTTATTATCAAGTTTACGAACGTTTCCATTTAATTTCAAACGCTGTACTAAACCGTATGCTGACTTGTTTGTTTTTATTTTGCTGTGCTTTTTTTCAATTAATATTTGAATTACGTAATTTTTTAAGGAAGTGAAACAGTTTTGCGCGAGGAAACGTTGTATGTCGTTTTATAGAAAATCACAAAATAAAATCAGAACATTGTACATTTTTTTTTTTGCATTTGTTTAACTCATAACACCGTAGTCAGTACACGTTTATGATAAATTCGTTTATAAGTTCTATATCATTTCCATTTTACAGGGAGATTTAGAATTATGCGATCCAAGCGATACGAGTCTGAGCACTTCGGACATGGAGGACGGTGGAAAGCAAGTGGTTGTTGGTGTTTGCGCCATGGCTAAGAAGTCCCAGAGCAAACCCATGAAGGAGATATTGACGAGGCTGCAAGAGTTTGAATATATCAAAGTTATCGTTTTTGCAGAGGATGTTATTTTATCAGTGAGTATATCCCTAACAACCTTGTTTTTTTCTCCACTTTTATTCGAGTTTAGAAAATATATAATTTAGTTAAACAAATAATGAATGGTTGTAAGTATAAATATATATATTTGATATTGCTTCAATAACAAAAAAAAATGTCAAATATTAATCTCATATGAGACAAGACTAACCATTTTAGATTGTAACACTGAATTTATTTTAAAAATATTAAAAGAGAATTTTGTGAAATTGATTTGAAGTATGCTTTTCAGAACATTTTCAATTAAGATATTATTCATTCTCGTGTCTGTTAATGTATGAATATTATTTCTCAAAGTTGACTTAGTTGACTATTGAATTTGTAATACAATTTGAATAACAGTATTTGAAGTAGTTATACATTATTTATTTATTATAATTATGTAGATATTAGAAGCTTCTAGTATTTACAGACGTAATAATACTAATATTGGATAAAGGAAGATGCGTGGATTGAAGGACTAAAAAATATGATTTAAAAATTAAATTTTTAAATTTCTATTATATATGATCATTTTTTAGAAACCTGTTGAAGAGTGGCCAGTCTGTGATTGCTTGATTTCGTTCCATTCAAAAGGATTTCCTTTAGAGAAAGCCATCCAATATGCACAATTGCACAATCCGTACGTAATAAATAATCTGCATATGCAGTACGACATACAAGATCGGAGGAAGGTTTATTCGATACTGGAAGCGGAAGGTATCGAGATACCACGGTATGCCGTGTTGGATAGAGACAGTCCTGATCCAAAACGTTCGTATTGATATTTAATACTTGAAATAAAATATATATGAGTGTTATGTTTACAGATCATGAACTGGTCGAATCGGAAGATCACGTCGAAGTCAACGGTGTGGTATTTAACAAACCGTTCGTCGAAAAACCGGTGTCTGCTGAAGATCATAATATTTATATATATTATCCGACATCGGCAGGCGGAGGTAGTCAACGATTGTTCAGAAAGGTTGTGTATCATAAACTCGCAATTTGATATCGTAACGTTGTATATTACCTATAAGTTTTGTTTATTCATTTTAGATCGGTAGCCGAAGCAGTGTCTATTCGCCAGAGTCTAGGGTCCGTAAAACTGGAAGTTTTATATACGAAGATTTCATGCCCACGGATGGTACTGATGTAAAGGTAATGTTTAAGGTCCGTCAGATTTCGATTTTCTTTTCTTTGTATTAAATTTTGCTCTAGATTGTGGTCACTCTGAATCGAGGACTAAAGAGCTTCGCACCTGTTTGTTGCAACCGAGTTTGCGTAATATTCAGCTACAACAAATGTGTGAATAACATTATGCAATAATAACGCTTACGAATTACATGCTTCAATTATGCTTTCTACTTACTCCTTATTAAGTATTACGAAGTACGACCAAAATCTATCGAGTGATATTTAAAAACAAACAAAACAAAATATAAATTTGCACTGATTTCTTATATTGTTATGTAATCGCTTTATACAACCCAAAAAAAAAATTTAACGACTTTGAAAATATAAATTGCAAGATTCGTACCAATTTTTTACGAGGTGATGGTAAATAATTTGGTTATGGATTGAAACTAAATTATCATATTAGTCGTTATTTTTTTAAATTTGCTAGTTGCATTTTTATTTTAAATTATATCTAAATTTTAGGTTTATACAGTAGGTCCAGATTACGCTCATGCCGAGGCGCGTAAGTCTCCAGCACTTGATGGTAAAGTTGAGAGGGATAGAGAGGGCAAAGAGATTCGTTATCCTGTGATATTAAGTAATGCAGAGAAGTTGATATCTAGGAAAGTTTGTTTAGCCTTTAAACAGGCTGTGTGTGGTTTTGATTTGTTGAGGTATTAAGATCGCAAACGATATAATGGCATCAATTTAATCTTTTGTTTTCAGAGCTAACGGAAAGTCGTTTGTGTGTGATGTAAATGGTTTTAGTTTTGTGAAGAATTCAAACAAATATTACGATGATTGTGCTAGGATCTTAGGTAACATGATTCTACGTGAGTTGGCACCAACTCTACATATCCCCTGGTCAGTACCATTTCAATTAGACGATCCTCCTATTGTGCCGACCACCTTTGGCAAGATGATGGAGCTGAGGTGTGTGGTGGCGGTCATTCGACACGGCGATAGAACGCCTAAGCAGAAGATGAAGGTCGAAGTAAGACATCCAAAATTTTTCGAAATATTTGAAAAGTACGACGGATACAAGCATGGCCACGTGAAATTGAAGAGGCCTAAGCAGCTTCAAGAGATATTGGATATAGCCAGGTCCCTTCTTGCTGAAATTCAGCAGCATGAAGCTGATCCTGAGATAGAGGAGAAGCAAGGAAAGTTAGAGCAGCTGAAGAGCGTCTTAGAAATGTAACTGTTTAACATTTACTAATTGATATTGCAGTAGTTTTAACAGCTTGTTTCCTTTTAGGTACGGTCACTTTTCCGGTATTAATCGCAAAGTGCAAATGAAATATCAGCCCAAGGGTAGGCCTCGTGGTTCCAGTTCGGATGATGGTAAACCAAATCTTAGTACGAGTCGATTTTTATTTCTTTTAATCCATTCCTTTGTTTGTTTTGCTTTGATTGCCAACGCGACTGTTTGGGTGCATTTTGGTATGTTTTCAGTAGATCGTCCAGCAGAACCATCACTTGTTCTCATCCTGAAATGGGGCGGAGAGCTGACACCTGCCGGCCGCATACAAGCTGAAGAGTTAGGACGAATTTTTCGCTGCATGTATCCAGGCGGCCAAGGTAGACATCTTGCTGGTTCGTATTTGGCTTTTATTTTATTTTAGTTCTTATATTGCTACCTTTTTATTTTCTTACATATGTAACACTGCAACTAGATTATTTGTGATGACAGTAGTTACATGTTTAATGGATTGGTAATGAACCACAATAGATATTAGTATGTGTTACATGTAGTCATTCCAGAAACATTCTTATATACAAACATTCACAGAAGTTCCACCAAGATCTTACTCTATGTTTTAATTTTCAATGTTAAAAATATGAATTGCATATTGGAAGTTGTTTCAAAGTGTTAGTCACTTTATTAATTCATGATGTTTTCTTATATAATCGTTAATGAGTGCAGCATTGTGAACTAATGTTATTGTATATATGTTTGATTTTTAAATATTTATTGTGTTTACTTTTTATTTGCATCGCTGTTTATTATTTCCGATTAAACACAGCTAATGTTCATGCAACAATTGCTATATATAAAGCCAAGAATCCATCAGCTTTACTGTATGTTCCAATGATTAAATTATTTTAAGTACAAAGTGAGACAGCAGTATATATTCAGTGTGTATTTTATTGTTTCATGTATGTTATTAAATCCAATAGATCGGATTCTTCAACTTTTCAATGCCTACGGAACCTTTCTGAAAGTGCCTGCTTAATTGGGACACCGGTTAACCGGGATAGCCGCTTATTAGGGACAAATCCTAAAAACGGATACAAAACTAAGGAAATAACACAAATTTACTTCGCGTTTTCAGGACAATATGTACTAGTCCGGATGTATCCCGATTAAGCGGAATCGACTGTATTATATTTGTCACTTACCATTTTTCATTTTACAGTTCAATGGTAATTTTACGCAGAACTCTTCAAAAATTTCCAAAGGTTCCGTGGAACCCAAGTTGAAGAACCATGCAATAGATTATTATTTGACATAAAAAGAACATTAGTTTTTTTGGTGGATTCTTGTCTTAAACAAATATATATTTTGGAATTCGTAATGGTTGTGTTCGATTTATAGGCGAATATGCAGGTGCCCAGGGTTTGGGTTTGCTCCGCTTGCATTCAACTTTCAGACACGACTTGAAGATCTATGCCTCCGACGAAGGTCGAGTCCAGATGACAGCAGCTGCCTTTGCTAAAGGTCTTTTGGCACTCGAGGGTGAGTTAACTCCTATTCTAGTGCAAATGGTGAAGAGCGCTAACACCAACGGATTATTGGATAACGATTGTGATAGCAGCAAATATCAGAATATGTAAATATACAAATACATTTATTTGCGTCCGACTTAAAATCACATTGAACAGGTGTAAAGCACGACTTCACGAACTGATGCAATTGGATCGGGACTTCACGACCGAAGATCGTGAGAAGATCAATCCCGGACACTCGGTAAGCATTACGGATGCTTTAGACTTTGTCAAGAATCCGGTTCAGTGCTGTCGTAACGTGCATGAATTAATTAAATCGTTGATGGAGATTGTTAAGCAAAAGAAGGAAGACCCTAAGACAAAAGGTACTAATTTATTGGAAATTTATTCGAAAATTGAATAATAACAATTTTCAATTACAGATGCTATTTTGTACCATGGTGAAACTTGGGAGTTGATGGGCCGACGATGGGGTAAAATCGAGAAGGATTTTTATATGAAGAACAAAAATTTCGATATCAGCAAAATTCCTGATATCTATGATTGCATCAAATACGATTTGCAACACAACCAGCACACGCTGCAGTTCGAACAGGCCGAGGAGCTTTACATAAATGCCAAATATCTAGCGGACGTTGTTATTCCACAAGTACGAAGCAACGAAGATCGTCGAATTTTTTTTGAAATGAAATCATTTTTGTTTAAAGGAATACGGTCTGACTCCGCAAGAAAAGTTAACCATCGGCCAGGGGATTTGTACTCCGCTTTTGAAGAAGATTCGAGCTGATCTTCAAAGAAATATTGAAGAATCTGGTGAGGAGACGGTGAACAGATTAAATCCGCGCTATTCGCATGGCGTTTCGAGCCCAGGAAGACACGTAAGGACTCGTCTTTACTTTACCAGTGAAAGTCACATACATTCCTTGATTACCGTTTTAAGACACGGAGGTTTATTGGACGTAAGATTGATTTATTGAAGAAAAATGATTTTGTGTTATATAATTGATTATTTTTAGATTAAAAAAGATGAACAGTGGCGGAGAGCTATGGAATACGTTTCTATGGTGTCCGAGCTGAATTATATGTCGCAAATAGTAGTAATGCTGTATGAAGATCCTACGAAAGATCCATCTAGTGAAGACCGTTTCCACGTGGAGCTGCATTTCAGTCCAGGTGTTAATTGCTGCGTGCAGAAGAATCTTCCCCCGGGGCCAGGTTTTCGACCGCATTCAAGGAATGAGTCGGTTGCAAGCAAAACAGCTGTAAGTGAAATAATTTCATTCTAAACTTCATATAATGATTTTGTAAATAAATGTATCATTTGTTGTAGAGCACAAACACATCAGCCACGGCAACTCCCGAAGAAAACAAGAACCATTGTCCGCTGCGCATCGACGAAGAAAATCAAATTCCAGAGGAATCTAACGAATCCTCTAATATAGGCGAACATCCTTTGGATAATTCGCCTCCTGATACACCTGACTGCGATCAATTTTATAATAGGTATCCAACGAGTGAGCCTATTCCAATTGGGTATAGTTTACTAAAATGAAATCAATTAAGATCTTTATAATCTGATGGTTATTATTTATCAGGAGTTCACATACCGTCTGCGGACACGAGGCGACGCATCTGGCCAAGCAACTAAATGACGAGTTGGCATCGCAGTCTCAGAACACCGGAAGAACTTTCGGCGTTTCGCGCACCTTGAGCCCCGATCAGGAACCGCGCTCGAAGAGCTACGACTATAAATCGACGCAGAACGGAAAGTCCAAAGGTAATTGTTTTCTGCCAGAATCTAAATGGTCGGTATTTATTGTTAATTAATATTTAATTATTGATCAGCCGACCAATTACAATACCAAAGTTTGGACGCTGTCAACAAGAAAGGTATGAACAATCATTTATTCCGAAACTACAAGCAAAGTAATTTTCTTGAATTGGTTTTACGTGTTTGGCAATAACATGTTTTTTTTTAATTTACCATCACTCATATTATTGCCTGCGATGGTCTATGACAACGTGCTTTTGTGTATTACTTAGATCATACACACTCACATATCGTGTCCATCTTGGAATGACACCGGAAATGATTAGTTTAGGAAAACGGGAAATTGAAATTCTAAAGGGTATTTTTGAAACTTGAGTTTGTTTCGACTTTCAACTTGATTTTGTTTATGGTTATACTCTTTGGTTTTCACTATTTTTTTTGTGTAGTTTTGTCTACAAAGTTGCGCTTTGCCTGTGTTGTTATTTATTTTATTTCTAGTGAAACAGACTAGACGATTCGATGCATACAATCATGATGGTATACTTTATAGAAGAAATATCATGTAGAGCTTGGATTGTTTTTAGAATATGTTGCACTGACTGAAACCAGAAAGAAGGTGCATCGGTACTCTTGGAAATGTTGCTATGGTTTCTGCAGGGTCATTTTATTCCCTATCAGTAAAGCCACCCTGCAGGTGCTCTCATTTCTAGCTTTACATTTATTATTGCATGAGCAAAGTCAAGTTGTTTCTTTATCTCTCTGTTGAATATACAAGAAAACTCATCTGTTTGGTGGTTCCGTGCGATTGGTGGACTGCGAACATGTATATTTTTTTGCGGAGGTCTTTTAAACACTGGATCCAGTGTTTAACTTACCTCCGATCGATCCACCGTACCTTTTATGACCCTTCTAAATTTTTAATCATTCACCTGAACGCATCTCACTGAACAAAACTCTTCAATTAAACTGCTGTACATCCCTTATATCGAATATCGATATATTTTTTGTAAGCATGGTGGTTCTATACTCTCTTCATACACTCCTATCCTAGATTAATACTACTAATATTTTTATGAAGCTTATATTATTTGGTTTCGTGTGGATATTAACAGCTTGTCGCTGACAAACAAAATTATTTACATTTGATTTGAAAAAGTGTTAATTTAGAATCGAAATTTGTACAGGATGTTTAAGATCTTTCTCACCAATCCATTTTAATACAAAATGGCGCATCCTGTGTGGGTCAAAATTTATTGATTTCTCTCATGTTTATATTAGTTTTTTTTAAGAGCACCAATTTGAATTTGCAAATATAATTTTGTTGGTCAAATCAATTGCGCCATTCTCATAATAAAAAAGAAGTTAATTGCATGCGTTGCATGATATATTTGAATATGGTTGTCTTTCACACACAACTAGGTGATCACTAACAACACTAGTAACTCAAATCTGTCGAAGGGTGATTGGGATTAATTGTACTTTTTCTCTTTCTTTTTGTCTTCCCAAAATTACCCCTTGTAAATTGGTGGATATTAAACTGATGGTACTCCTTCACAACATGATCGAAAACAATTGGATTTAAACAACAAACAAACTTGCGCTTTTCTGCATGTTGATTAATGATCTCGTATTCACGTATCTTGCATTGCACACGCTCTAAATGTCATGTTTCTATATCTATCTCTTTTCTTTATGGTTTATATTACTATTTTTTTTGCATTATCATATTTTGTTGTTAACATTTTTTTATTTCTCGTACTAAAGAGGATTCACCTGATTATGATACAGATCTTTCGGTCACGCCTACAAACAAATCGGTTTCGCCACCCATCGCCATCCCCTTAAAACTATTAGACACTAATTTCACGCGGACAGTACAAAATTTTGTTTTCACACCAATTGCCAATGCAAAATTGGTCTCTCAGCATCCGGAGCTCAGTCCGATTTCGGGGAGTTTCGATTATGACGGTCGAAGCGAAATTGATTCTCCTCTCACATTAAGCAAACTAAAATCGCGATCTCCGACGAATGAGTGCCCAATGAGCGAGTTAAAGTTTGAGTTCGATCCTTGTAATAATTTTACCAAATTCGAAAGCGCAACTAATGAATTACCTTTAACGGAACTTAACTTGGCTCTTTTTACGTCGGAATTGGAAGGCGACGATAAGAACGTGGAGACGCCCAAATTAGCCAGGCAGTTGACAAATGATAGTCAAACAGATGATTTATCCTTGGAGGTTAATTGGGAGAGCGAAAACTCGGAATTAGATTCGGTCGGTAGGAAAAAAATAGTTGATACGAAAGGGGGTAGTCCGGTTAAGGATAGGAGTTGTTTTAAAGAGAAGTTCCCGCCGCAAAGGTCTTACTCGGATCCGAATATATTGGAGAGCGATAACAAAAAAACCAATCTCTTTCTCATAAAACGCCTGAACGAGGCCCTTATGGCTAGCGACGCTGAGGAGAGCTCCTACAATAAACAAATTTTGAGTCCTACAGAGGAACCTATTTACCCATTCAGTTTCTATCCTTTCGTGAAAAGATGCGGGGACGGCGATCCTATTCATAATCTCACACTGCATCAGCTTAGCTCCTGCTTCACGCGTTCACCATCCAACCTCCTATCTTTCTTCTCCTCCCATCCGACCACCACCCAAAGGTCGATGTCACAACCTACGTCCACTGTGTCCAATACAGAGAACACCGGGGGTACGGTGCCAAGACGCCATCGACACAGTATCGCCGGACAGATGAGCTATTTCAAGATGCTAGGGTTTGGATTCGGTGGACCTATAGCCTTCAAGAAGTTAGCAGGGGGAAGCACCAATTCTCTTTTCTCCACCGCCGTCATTTCCGGAAGTTCCAGTGCGCCAAATCTACGAGATATGATTCCAAGCACGGCAAGCGCCTCAGGTATAACTTATCGAGTCATCCCAATTCTCCAGTAAAACGTATTGTTCAGCAATCGAAGGTTTCGGTGGAGTACCGCCCATTAGACCGCTGGAGACGTTGCACAATGCGCTCTCCTTAAAGCAGCTGGACACATTCTTGGAGCATATGACCGGAGTCTCTCTCTTCAGGACGCCCTCATCTACTCCACCAAAATATCCTTCGACGCCGTTACCTACACCCACAACGGCCAATCACCAGAACGGAAATACCAACGGATCGACGCAGCACCCACCCCTCAGATTGCAATCTCCCAGTAGCAGTAAGTTATAAACCGCATGAACGCTAAACATATTCCAACTCAATTTTTGTAATTAGATGATATTAATGAGAATTTGCTGATTTTAACTGATAGCGAGGACGAGGTTGATAAGTATAACAATCCGCTCTTTGAGAATAACACAATGTCCAAACTACTGAACGGCTGAATACTGTTTTAATCTAATATTAATAATAATATATTATTTATGTTTCACACGTACTTAAATCGGATTAAAATTCGGTAGGTGTAGGTTGGAGCGGTCCGCCAAGTTTCATGTCCAGTAGTGGACCGTCGTCGCCAGGTCTTTCGGACCCCTATTCCACGTCGAAAGAGAGCAGCGAAATGTCCTCAAGTGTCGTCAGCGGTGACGGGTATATGATATAAAAAAAACATTTATCCAGCACGCATACCTCTAGAGACAGCTAAATCGGACATTGTTCTATAAATATACAAGCACTTTGTTTCTTTTATTTTCTTTGTTTGTTTAGTTCTTCTCTCCTTATTATTTATACGTAAACTCTGGTAATTCAAATTTTATATTGAATTACTAAGAAAAAAATATGCTTTTGTTTTGGATGGCCATTTGGTAGTTTTGCAATTTAGTTGATACGAATTATTTTCTTGTCTTCTAATTGATTTTACTTATTTTTTGTGGGCGTGGCAAGCGTTTGAATAGACGTTGCTTCTATTTTTCACAGCATGCATATATCTTCTCAGTATTTTGTTACGTGTGCTTTCTTTGGTTACTAAGGTATATGTTGTCTTAACTAACTCTTAATCTGCAGATTAATGGGGAACTTATCGCACATGTTCCCCACAGTCCCTGGGTTAGATCAGGACTTGGAGAATGTTGGCATTCTGCTAGATACGACCGATAAAGAAACAGGTCCTGGCTCTATGGAATTCTCCGAGTACTATGCCAGCTTGCAGCAACCATCAAATATTACAGGTATATCTCTAAATTACTTAATCATTGCTTATTAATTATGTGCATCATCTTAGGCCAGGGTGAAAGCGGCGAAGTGACTCCGGTGTCTTGTGGTTCCGAAGTTGAATTCAACACGAATGATGCAACGGCCGGATCTACGGCAGATTGCGATGTGACCGTCACCGAAGACATTGAATCTTCTCTGATCATGGGCGAGGACGAGGACTTTGATGGTATTCCGAAGGAAAACAATTATATCTGCAAGCAACAAAATCCAACGAAATTGGCATTGACGAACAATGCGAATTTCTTTTCAAATATCCTGACGTCACCCACCTCCGAGAAACTGGAGCACATCGAAAACAGTGATAGGATGCAGCAGAGTCCGAGCACGAGCAAACTTTGTAACAATAACGTGTCCAAGTATTTGGATAAGGATCTGAAGCCGAAAAAGAACAATGTGTACGATAAGTGCATGGGTGACAAATGGGGTGTGACCAAGGAGAAGTTCCTGGAAAATAGCAATGCGAATGTCACTAAGCCTAAGATGACTCCAGGAGCGCTGGTGGTGAGAGAAACTTACATCGAACCACCGAAGATCAACAGGGTTTCGAGAAGCTTCCATGGCAAAAGTAACACCTATTTGGACATCGGGGAAGCGCAGCGTAGGGCCAGCGATATTTCGATATCGAGTAAAGTGTTGAACTCTCAAGCTGAAGTGGCAAACAATGATTCGCGTAGGAACAGCAACGCCGAAAAGTCGCCAAGGAAGTTGGTGTCTCAAAAATCTCAACCTTGTGGTAGCATCGAGAAGAATCTAAGCAGAAAATCGTCCTTGGTCTCCATAGATGGAAGGAATCCTAGATTCAAGACAACTTTGGTCGACGAGGCTGAGCATGCCGCCTCCATGGGCATATCTAACTCGAGACAGCAGGATAATATGAATAAAGATTGATTGGGTAGTGAAAGACTTAATCGAATGGGCCTGTTATTTTTTGAAACATATTATTGATATCATCGAGAAAGAAATAAACGACATATTTAAATTTCATTTAAACTCTCTTTCTCTACCTTGAATTAACGACATCGAATATTTAGTTTTCTTTAAAATGAGGTAAATAGCAGGTAGGTAAACGGTTGGATCAACGTTAAATAGTAATAAATAATTTACGGCAACTTCCATATAAAATTAAATTACAGGGAAAGTAATTTCAATTTGCTATTTAGTGTAATTGTTTTGTTTTTATTAATGAGAGAGTCTTGTGACTGTAATTGTGAATATATTAGAGACGTTCTTAAAGACATTCTGGACATTTGTGGTCGATGGAATTTTGAAAATGGTCTAATATTAAATCATAATAGTTTCATTATGTATAAATATAATATTGCTATGGATTTTTGTGCAATTATGTGAAAGTACTGAAAAAAAATCTGTTATAATTTGCTTCTCCATACAAAAGATCATTGGTTGTCGAAAGGCAATTGTCTTGCATTCTATTGTCTTTTCATTCTATAATAGTTATTTTTGAAAATTGATAACAACAAAATTGATTGAATTAAGAAAGCTCTGCTCCTCTTTGACTCCCATGGTCAGGGTCTTGCCATCGGACAGTAAACCAGAAGTTGCATCACAAAACTTGCAAAGTGGATTAAATCAGATTGGCTCAAAGAATTAAAGTCAACTTAACGAAATCGATTCATGTCACCTTTACTATGTAATTCTAAAAACAAAGCATTCCGATCATATTAAAAAGGTCTTGGACTTTTTTAAACGACCTATAATATATTTTTATTATTATAAGAGAATTTGTTAAAATTTGATTTTAAAGTGTCTGTCGACAAGTTGATCGTCCCCGAGTTGTCGCGTATCTAATAATAACCACTTAATAAAAAATATCATCACTTATGTTAATTGCTAAAATATATTTCTCCAGCGATTTCAATCAAAAACATTGCGCACAGTCACCGACGAACCCTGGTATGTAAACAACAGTGTTATACCCAGTGATTTGCAAATAGAACCTGTTAAAAGTGTAATTACTAACTATAGTGAAAGATACCAAGGAAGACTACAATGACAGCCAAATAAACTACCGGAAAATCTATTAATAAATCCAACACAAACATACAAAGTGTAACATTCTAGACTTATCATATAAATTTAATTATTTTATGGTAGATAGTAAATAAAAATAGATCTTAAAAAAATATAAACAAGTTGTAAAATTGTTTAATAAAAAAAATGTTATGTTGCTGGATTGCCCATATCAACAATAACATACAAAATTTAGGTATCGATTGTATTTTTTTTTCAAGTGGGTCGATAAGTTTATTAGTGGAGCATCTCGTGAGAACACAAAAAATTACGAATTCAATTTGCAGAGACAGTTCTTCCGTAGATTTTATTCAATGGTTTCAAAAGGATTTCGAATCCAATCATATTGTTCTGTATTAATAAAATAAAAATATTGATCAAATTTCTTCTGAAGCATACTTAAATGTTGTTGTGCCAGATCCACAATTAATTGCTCGTTTTCAATCGCACTGATCGTTGGTCCTTTGATACATTTCTAAACATCCTTTTTGTAACTTTTCCTGCCAAAGTTCGAGTTTTTTTTTTGAACATCTATAATTTGTCGGAGCACGTCAATATATTTTCATTACGACCTTGCATTTTTTATTTAGTTCATTCAGATTGGCTATCCAGTAATCATTATAGAGGTGCTGATATAATTCGGTCTTATTTTGATCTAAAAGAAACTCATGTACCTCGTAGCTAAGCTCAAACAATCTAGCCAAAACTTTGCATCGGGACAGCCAACGAACTTCACTATAAAATAATAAGGATTTATATTCGGTTCCCATTTATGCACAGAGTATACCAAATATTCGCGAATAAAGCTCTCAATTTAATTATATTTATGATCTTATTTTGATCTAAAAGAAACTCATGTACCTCGTAGCTAAGCTCAAACAATCTAGCCAAAACTTTGCATCGGGACAGCCAACGAACTTCACTATAAAATAATAAGGATTTATATTCGGCTACCATTTATGCACAGAGTATACCAACATCGGTTGATTCGTCGATTTGAAGCGCAATTTTTTCAGCCAATATCAGTTTTCTAATCAGTGTTCCTAAAATATCGGTTGACATGTCGTGAACTCGTTTTTTAACAGTATTCATTGCCAAAGCATAAATCGAACAATTTTTTGACGTGCAATTAATTTTCCAACATGGTGATGTTTAAAAGCTTGGGAACCGTTGCTCTAATATTTATTAAGACTTTTACTAATATATATTGTATATAATATTAACAAAAACTTTTATTACTTAATGTTGGATTTCTCCATGAAGGAGAATATTAAGAACAGAGATAAATAATGTAGATTTAAATAATCAATTAGATGAACATTATCTAACGTAACGATTTAAGACAATTCGCAGAGAGCTTGAAATTACAGAGAAAGCAAATTGATTCGCAAATTGCAAGCATATATAAGGCGAGTGTGGGATATAAGAATGCACACTGGGCCACGATGATTGATTTCTTCAAGGTAAAACAAGTTAAAACAGAAGCAAAACAAATTGAGCTTCTGCAGACCTGTAAAAATATTCTTCACATTTGCGGTATTTGGCCAAGCAACGGCGTAAATTTCCTATTTCTATTAAGATTCGTCATTATAATGATCTTCTACAACGTAAATGTTGTGGGATCAGTCTGGCACTTGATCTACACCTTCTGTAAGTACAAATTGCACCATTGAATCGTGTTAATAAAGTTGTTTAGCTAAGGAGACTGTGAATTATTTGGAGATCGCCGACGATTTGTCCATCATCATCGCAATATTAAGCGTAATGTGCGTGTTGAGCTCGTACGTAGTGAAATTTGAAGATATGAAAGAGCTTCGTTTAGAAATGGGAAATTTCACTGTTTACGATAAACCCAAAGATGTCGAACAACTAAACGCCAAGCTGGACTTCTTTTCAAAGTTGTTCATGATATGGTTGTTCGGATCTTGCCTTTATCTTTGGATATTGCTGACATTTGAAAATTGCGAAGACGGCTCCATAGATATTTGCGGATTTCTCGTCGGAGTTTATTTACCTTTAGACATCTTCAGCTCTCCGTACAGGGAATTATACTTGGCCTTTCAATGTTACACATGTTACGGATGCACACTTACGGCCTTCTACGTTTCTTATTCTTTATTGGGAATGTGCTCGTTCATGAAGAATAGAGTCGACTATTTGATTGTCATGTTGAAGACGATCGCTACGATAGAAAGTCGATGTGAGCGCAGATCAAGAATACGAAAATCCGTCCTCTACCACTACAAAATAATCGAGTTGAGTATACTTTGTGAAAAGCATCCAATTTATTTAATATAACTTTTATACAATTAGATTATGGGAAAAATTTCATGAACTGTATACCATCATGTTTTTCATACATGTCGTAAATTCGCCGGTCACGATGAGTTTGGTTATTTATCAGATCTTGGAAGTATTAAAAACTAAAACTTTATTAAATAAAACTTGAAATTTTTATATTTTTTAGAATATGAGGTATTTCCATATCATTCACTTGAGTGCTTGGATCGTGGCGCTCGGAATGAACTGTATCTTCGGACAACAATTAATCGACTCGGTTGTTGTAACTGATGTTGCAAATATAATGTTTATTAAGTTTGTAATAATTGTAGAGCAACGAGCTTCTCTATGCATGTTATGATAGTATGCCTATCGATGGAGATTGTGAAACTCAAAAAGATCTGATGCTCATTATGATGCGATGCACCGTCCCATTGACTATACCTGTTGGAAAATTTGGAATCTTCGATCATTCTTCGTTTATTTTGGTAAAATCTCTCAGTTTATGCAAGAATATTCAGACGAATTTAATGGATTTTCTTTCAGGTCATACGTACTATCTATTCATACTTGACAATTATATCGCAAAGCAAATAATTTAAAACTCTTAAATATTTCGTACACGGATTTACTTAAACTAGAACTAGAATTGTTTAAATCAATTACGATTATTATTATAAAATAACTGTAGTATCGCTTGGCAAAATGTTACCCAGCTTTCTTAATTTGTCAATCAGTAGTTAGACACCACCAAAATATTTATATTTAGTGATTAAAGAATTTATTGGAACATCTAAAGAAAAATATTATTTCTTAATAATAGTAATAATAACATTTAATGTATCAAATTAAACACTCAACAAAATAACATAATAATAAAATTAAAACCAAGTTGATTTGCTGCAAAGGGCTACTGACCATAGGTATTTCTGCCCGATATCATTTCTTATTAATGCTATTTTGTAGATGATATATGGTAGTATATGGTAAAATATCGGGCAGATATCTATAAAAACTATGCACACTCACGATGAACCTCTCCAGAAAGACATCAATGCAAGGAAATCAACACAATTTTTATTCCATACGAGATAAAGTAGAGGTGATGAAGATGAAATTTTGTAGATGAACTAAAAGAATAGAATCGAATGTTTTTTAAATGACTCCAAACTACCCAATGTTCACATTGATGAACAGATTGTGAATAAAATTATTACGACATAAAAAATGTCTCCAAATTAATTTTAGAATGTTACAGATTATTGTGAATTTGATAAAAAAACTTACAATTTATTTAATACAATGTCATTTCCAAAAATTAATTGAAACATTTGAGAAATATTATAATGAACTTGATAGTTGATTAAATAACTGAGATAATAACAATTTAACACCAACCTACGATGACACTCTGCTTAAATTGATGAAGGATTAAAATTTTGAATGTATATTCAAAAGGAATATCAGCACCTGTTCACCATCGCCTTACAACATGTATTGCCTTTTGCTTCCACATATCCGTGCAAAAAGAGATTTTCCACAATGGTCAATATTAAAACAAAACAACGTAATCGACTCCAAGACTTTTCCATGCGAGTAGCATTGAATAACGCAATTGTGTTCAAAAACAGAAGACCAATTAAGTTTTGATTTTTTATTTATGAATTAATATTACATTTAAAAGGTTTTTGTTACTATAATATGCAAATAAATCCACTTTGTTTTTGTTTCATCATTATTTTTCTTATTACAATAATATTAATAATTTATTGGCCAGACAGTAAATATAAAAATATATATCCTATAAATAAATATAAATAATCTGATTTTTTTTATAAAAAAGAACGCCATGGACGTCCTCGATTACTTCAGATTAGAATAGTCCTGGATATTGATGAGTTATTGCTGTATAAGACATTAAATATATCAATAATTTAATCATCTTTAGCGTGTCTTGTACAAAAATCTGAAGTAAACCATTTTGAAAGTAATAGTTTTTATGAATATTATGTACAAACTATCTGTTGCACAAGTTCCAAGTTTATAAGATAATTTAAAAACAATGATGTTATTATTCTCAAGACTCTGTACATAATACAACTTTTAGAACAATTAGAAAATCTAAATATAAAAGATAAACAATAAATAAACCAAAATTGTTTTGACATCAATTTACATAACATAAGTCTGGCAATAGACATATTCATAAAAAAAGTTTATATATTGCATTGACTATAAAAATCTGTCTGAAAATATGATATACATTTAAGAAAAAAATTAAATAAAACTAATATTAAATATAAAAAATATTAAATTAATTTTATTATCAAAATATAACTAAATACAAATAATTTTAGTGTAATCCAAATTTAGTTAGTGAGACATTTCTGTTAATCAACTCTCACGACGTTATTTATATGATGAAATTTATTGGAATTTCCTCCTCCTGTTAACATAATTGATTCCATACACGTTTGTAATGTTGATAAAAACGTTACCAAGAGTATTTCACTCTAATTTATTAAATGCATCTTGAACACATTCAATCAATTAATCAATTATCGAAAACGTTTAAATCGATAGTGGTTGTGACTTAAATTGAATAATCCAACCATCAGTAGAACCGTGTTCTATTTTTTCTTTGTTCTGCGTGCACTGTAATAGCTGTTGCCATGTACCATGACGTTGTTCATTAGTCAATTGCTTCAATTTGACATCTCTTCTTTGTAAATTCACGTTATTTGGGTTAAACATTTTCATTTTAAAATTACAGCGGTGATTATTATATTTTTCTTAAAAAACTAATTTTTGATCTTCAGGTTCCAATATGAAATTATATGAAATTGATTTTCTTATGATTTACAATTTTTGTTTTGATTTTATTATTTTCCTTTTTTTATATATTTTGACCATACATTTTTAATTATATTTCCACAAAATGTTGTTAACATTTACTTTTTATTTATTTAAAGTAAATATAAAATTACCAGATTAGATCAGCATCAAATACGATTTAAAGCATTTTACCAGCAGCTTGAAATTACAGAGGAAACAAATTTATTCCCAATTAGTAGTATTAGTATTTTTTGTGTTTATACATTAATGAGAGAGTGCGCTCACTTTCATCGTCAGCAATCGTATGTATGTATATATATAAGAAGGTAAATGAAGGATTCAGAATGCACACTGATCCACGATGATTGATTGCTTTAAGTTAAAAGCGGTGGAAACCGATGCGAAGCAAATCGAGCTCCTGAGAACATGCAAAACTATTCTTCGCCTTTACGGTTTTTGGCCCAAGGGCGGCTCTAAAAATGTCTTCTTCATGTTGAGATTCATCTTCATCATAATCTGCTACAACACCAATGTTGTTGGATCAATCTGGCATTTAGTTCACGTAATGTGTAAGTATGAATGCATTATTGGATCGTGATTAATAACGTCAATTAGCTAAGGAAACTATTGATTATTTGGAAATCGCCGATGATCTGTCCATCATCATCTCAGTATTGAGCGTGATGTGCGTCTTCGCCGCGTACATGGGGAAATTCGACGAGCTGAAAGAGCTTCGCCAGGAAATGGGAAATTTCACGGTTTACGATAAACCCAAGGACATCGAGAAACTCGACGCCAAGTTGAACTACGTTTCAAAGATTTTTCTCGTCTGGTTTCTCGCTTCGTGTGCTTATCTTTGGACGTTGCTATTCCTTGAGACATGTGAGGACGGATCCATTGATATTTGCGGTTTTCTCATCGCCGTTTACCTACCTTTCGATATTTTCACCTCTCCATACAGGAAAATGTTCTTGACTTTTCAATGTTACACCTGCTTTGCTACCGTCTTAACAGCTTTCTACGTATCATATTCTGTGTTAGGAATGTGCTCATTCCTGAGGAATAGAGTTGACCATTTGATTGTTTTGCTAAAGACGATTCCTACGATAGAAACTCGATGCGAACGCAAATCTAGAATCAGAAAATGCGTACTCTATCATTACAAAATAATTGAGTTGAGTATACCTTCCGAAAGATATCCAATTAATTAAATATAACCTTTTTTGTTTTCATTAGATTGTGGGAAACATTTCATGGACTTTACACCATCATGTTTTTCATACACGTTGTTAATACGCCGGTCACAATGAGTTTGATCATTTATCAGATATTGCAGGTTTTTAAACACTGAATTTTTGTTTTCAAAATTTTCTCTTAATACTCGAAGTTTTAGAAAGTTAAGTTCGTGCCCATAATCCACTTGAGTGGTTGGTTCGTGGCGCTCGGAATGAATTGTATTTTCGGACAACAACTTATAGACTCGGTTTTGCTAATTAAACAATCTGTTTACTAAAAAATAACTATTATATAATTTTGTTATATTTCCAGAGCACCGATTTACTATATTCTATTTATGAAAGTATGCCTTTCGATGGGGATTGTGAGACTCAAAAGGATTTGATGCTCATTACGATACGATGCTTACTCCCAATGACTGTACCCGTGGGAAAGTTCGGAGTATTCGATCATTCCTCGTTTATTACGGTAACAAATTTACGTAAAAATAACATATGTTTATAGTAATTTCGTTTCAGGTCTTAAAAACTATTTACTCATATTTGACCATATTATCAAGCATTAAATAGTTTAACTCTTATTCTAATATATATTAATTAGGAGTATTAGGTTCTTCAAATAAAACGACAACTTTTTTTTAACAATGTATCGAATATATATTTTACAGATTGATATAATAGCATACACCAAAAAAACATCCACATAACTACTCTAAAGAAACAATTTAAAAAAAGACCAGAATGATATTCATTTCATTACTCTTTTTTTATTATTATTTTAATTTTCAAATACATTTCATTAATTTTTTTATTAAAATTTGTACTTTACAGTCTACAAATTGATGAATTAAGAACGCACGTTAATAAAACTAACGCAATAATATATATATATATATGCATTTAACAGATTATAATATTTTATTGTTTTGTTTAATTTTTTTTTCTCCCTTACCCGACAATCAGTGCACTTACTCGAACGACTGAAAGTCTCTGAAGCGATCATATTAAATTAATTACTTCCCAAAAGTAATTTATTGAAAAAATAATAAGAATTAAGACGAGATACAAAAATAAAAATAAGCTACATGTGAGCATATTATCATCATCATCATTGATTTTCATGTTTACATCATCATTACAATTACTTTTATATTATTACATCAGACTTTTTTTTTTATTATTACATACATAAAAATAAAAAAAATATATTTTTTTACTTGAGAAAAAAGGTAAAAACAAAAATTTCTACATGCTGCGTACTTGATTTTAACTAAACAAAAAACACCCCAACGACATTTTAATTTATAATTGGAAGGCGACAATTTCTTTAATCGAGAGATAAGAGCAAAAACGAAAACCGTCTTAATTTGACTGTTTCATTTCTGCCCTTTCTTTACACAGCGATTGATTACGTTAGCCTTGGGTTAGTTACGAAACGTATCAGCTTCATTAAAGTATTCTTGATTTATTACTAATATAGCGAGATCAGTAAGTAATATATGGATGGAGGGAATGAGGGAAGTTAAACGTATATGGATCGATTTTAGTATGTTCGATGGCAGTTAAAGGGGTGATGAGAAATGGAATCGAAAAGGAGTCATGATTCGTGTGATGCAAATTTGTTAAATAAGATCCTACCTATCTAATATTATGTACAATTTCAATAATAATTATAAAAATGTTCAAATGACATAATCATTGTCAGAATGTGACAATGGACAGGTGTCAGAAGTAAAACAAAATATAAAACAAAACATGGGAAGAAGCATTAGATGTGTTTTAAACACGCAAAGACTAATATAAGAATATCGATCTCTTCTAACAGATCAGTCCTTGTTCATTCAATTCATTTATCCTCGCTAAATGATACAGTAAAAAAGCTAGGCACAGAAATAGGCGTATATAATCGTTATTAATATTATTATTACCGTATATTTTTATGTTTATTTTTTGTAATTATTTATGTATA